CACTTAGGAGCTGTGTGACTTCAGATAAAGCATTTAACTTCCTTGTACTTCTATCAGTTTAGTTAACTCCCGAAATGGACACATTAATATTATTCCTACAGAAAGGCATGGGACCCGGCCCAGATGATGGCTTTAAGGTTTCTTCCAACTTCAGCAGACATGATATTGATTCTGTGTAGTCATTATTGCTGCTTAAGGATTGTATTTATTTATCTTTAGAGAGATGGGAAGGGAGGGAGAAAGAGAGGAAGAGAAGCAGTGATGTGCAAGAGATACATCATGCCCCCAGCTGCAACCCAGGCATGTGCCCTGACTGGGAACCAAACCAGCGACCTTTAGGTTTTCAGGCTGGTGCTCAATCCACTGAGCCACACTAGCCAAGGCATAAGGACTTTAATTACAAGCTATAATAGCACACTTCATTGGAATTGTTTTATTGAGAATAATATTCAATTATGTGTTGATTTCTCAATAACTGCTTAGATTCAAATCTATCTAATTCACAAAACATTTACTTAACACCTGGGTGCTAGAAACAAAAATAGATAATTCAGTCGAGGTCCTTATCCTGAAGGAAATAAGAGAGAAATGGGAGTGATTAATTAATTAATTTTGGGCGGGAAAGGGGGAGGAAAGGGATCGTGTAGTATAGGGAAGGTCATTTAATCTGCACCTTAAAGAATAAGTAGGTTGAGCACGGGCCTGCGAACCACACAATTGCGGTTCCATTTCCGGTCAGGGCACATACCTGGGTTGCAAGCCAGTTCCCTGCAGGCCAGTTCCCAGCAGGGGACACAGGAAAGGCAACCATACATTGATGTTTCTCTCCCTCTCTCCTTCCCTTCCCCTCTAAAGATAAATAAATTAAAATCTAAAAAAAAATATATATATCCTTATAAAAAAAAGAATAAGTAGGAATTTGCTCATTAGACTTGAGGTGATTTCAGGCAGAGGGAACAGCATTTGCAAAGGCGTAGAGGAATAATAAACCATGACATATTTAAGGAACAGGAAGCCTTTTGTATTTCTTGAACATGGGTTGTGTGTATGTGTGTATTTGGGGGGAGGGGTGAAGAACAATGAACAGATCAGTGAAATGGATAGACTCCAAATCTCAAAGGGCATAAATGAATTGAGTGAATAACAGACTTTTTAATAATTTATATTCTAATGATGGGGAATGGATTAGCAAGAGCATCACAAGGTCTTCTGTGATGTCTTATCCTGATTTGATTTTAAAATCCTCAGCAGCCAAACCTGAATACAGGGAGGTATAGTAGTATTATAATGCAAATGCCTATGTTGAAAAACAGTCCTTTTTAGAAATAGAGACTGAAATATTTTTGTATGAGATGATATGATTTACTTTGAGATAATGAGGGAAGGTGGATGTGTGAGGGTGTGATATTGTGATTTGCATTTGTAGTAAGAAACAAATGTTTGGTCTTTGTCCGAATTCCTTGCGACCAGCGATAAAGGTGCCTCTTGTTATGTTGATGCTGTGACTTTGGGACTATACCTTGGGACACAGGTTGTTTGCCAAGAGAGCAAACTATGTGATTAGAGGGTTGAAACTTTAATTCCCAAGCCCACCCCCCACTCCACTCCCAACCTCCTAGGAAGGGAAGAGGGCCTGGAACTTGCGGATTGGTGATCGTGCGGAGTTGCTGGGAGAATGATGGGCCTGGAGAGGCATGGACGCTCCTTGCCCTTTCCCCACACCGTGCCCTGGGCACCTCTTCCACCTGGCCGTTCCCGAGTGATCCTTTTATAATTGGCCAGCGATCTACTAAGAACCGTATTTTGTCATGTATAATGTGTACTTAGGTTTTGTGCGCATTATACATGAGATTCTTGTTCTCATGGTGTGTAATCATTATACCCATGTATAATGTCCATCCTTATTTTTTACCTCAAAAATCTGGGCAAAAAGTGCGTATTATACACCGCATGATACAATAAAATGTTTCTCTGGGTTCTGCTGGCTGCTCTAGCAGATCAGTCTAACCTGAGGAGGACGGGTGAGGGAACCTCCAATCTGTGGCTGGACTTGCGATGGGCATCTGAAGTGTGTACGTGGGTCAGTCTTGTGGGACGGAACCCTGAGCCTGTGAAGTCTGATGCTCTCCCGGGTGGGTGGTGGCAGAATTGGGTTGAACTGTAGGACACCCTGCAGGTGGTCAAGAATTTCTTGGATGTGTGGGAAACCCCCCTCCTATGTTGAAACTGGGTGCAGAACTCTTTTTAGTAGCGTTGTTGGTTGAAGCCAGATTTTTTATGATTGTGGAAGCATATTTTTGTATGCATTTGAAATTTTCCACAATACAAAGTTTTAAAAAGTGGCTAGTTAGGGGAATGTAATTCATTTATCCCTCAGGAAATAATTGAGAGTCTGTTTTTAAAAAGGCTCAAATTGGTGTTTTGGAAAATTTTGGATTTTAGTATGCAGAGCTTGTAAACCAGGGGTGGAGGTGACATGCACATAAATAAGTCTAACATAAGTCAGAATATTGTGAATTCCAAGCATACGAAACAGGTCTAGATAAGGTACTGGGGAAGTTCTGGGGAGACAGAATGAAGATGGCATTGACCTTTACTCATTCACTCAATGCCACAAACACTTCGGGCTTCGAAGGCCTCGCCCTGTCGGTTGCGGCTGCTCAGCTCAGGGTTTGTGAGCAGCTGTGGTCACGTAAATGAGTGAATGTGTCTATATTCCAATACAACTTGGTTTCTGGACAGTCAGTTTTGAATTTTATATAACTTTCATGTGTCTGCGAAAACATATTATAACTGGAATCATTTTATGTTAATTAATTTACTTCTTTAAAAGATTTTTTTGATTGAGAAAGATGGGAAGGGAGGTAGAGAGGGAGAGAAACATCAATGTGAGGGAGAAACACTGATTGGCCCAATTGGGGTCCGAACCCACAACCCAGGCATGTGCCCAGACCAGCAGTTTAACTGGCCACCTTCTGCTTTGTGGGACGAACTGAGCCACCGTGAGTCAGGGCCGATTGGAGGCACTTTAAAATAGGTTTGGAGCTCTCATTCCAGAGGGACTGCCTTGCCCAGCATGTGTCTTGGGGCTTTATAATGTTAAAACTAACATTAACATTGGGCCAAATAACATTTGGACTGGGCCTAATGCAGCACTGTACCCCAAACAACTGTTTGCAAAGAGAACAAGAAAGCAGATATTGACTCCAGGGATTGGCTGGGCTGAAAATGAAAAATGTTCTTTAGAATTAGCACCATTTGTTAGCCTATCTGCACCTATAGAAATTCCTTCCTCCCATTGACGCAGTTGTTCCTCTTCCCTTCCTCACAAGTGCTTCTTGGCTTCCAGTCAGAACAAACACTGTTTGGGTTTCCTTTTGAACCACTGCTTCCCAAATATCTATGCTTTGGGGTCTCAAATGCTTGTTGCCTTTACTCTGGCCTTTTACCTTTAGGTGACACATCACAAAATATTATTCCTGTTTATTCTTTCAACTATTTAAAATGTAAAAATCATCCTTCATAGGCCAAACAAAAACAGAGGGCCACCTGGATTTGGCCGACTGCTGTAGTTTGCCAACCCCAGCCATGGCTTAAAAGTTCCTCATCTCAGCTTTGAAATGGATCATTCTGCCGGATGCGTTGGTTAGAAATCAGTTACGAAGTGATTTGGCCAGCTTCTGTGAGTCTTTTTTCAGCCTATTCTAAGTAGAGATGATTTCCATCTTTCACGTGGCCTGTTCACGACATATTAGTATCTCTGATGGGAAACTGGTCTAGGTCTAGACAGTCTCTGGGATACTGTTCACCCTGATGATTCTAGTCCATTGATTTTCCTAAATAAAAAACCTGCTCTGGCTGGTGTGGTTCAGTGGATTGAGCACTGGCCTGTGAACTAAAGGATTGCCGGTTCGATCCCCAGTCAGGGCACACACCAGGGTTGCAGGCCATGTCCCCAGTAGTGGGTACATGATAGCAACCACACATTGATGTTTCTTTCCCTCTCTTTCTCCCTCCCTTCCCCTCTCTCTAAAAATAAATAAGATCTTTAAAATCTTTTTTAAATAAAAAACCTCAGAATTCTTTTTGAAACTGTCCCCCATAGCTTCCACAGCACTGTGGTCTCTCAGTTTCTTTGTGCAACCTTTCCTTTTCATTTTATTTCCCGGGCTCTTGCCTCAGATGTTCCGTCCCTGCCGGTTCTGTCCCTACCTTCTTTTCTCCCTCTTCTCCCCCATGGTGACTTTCATCAGTCCGTGCTTTCAGTCTGCACTGGTGACTGTCTTCTGATGCATACATACAGCCTTTCAAGGTTTCCCATTACCTAGAAGTTCAAATCCAAACTCCTTAGCCAGGCCCAAGGCCTCTCTTGGTCTGAATTCCTTGTGCATTGCTTGGCAGCTGGACCGCACCAGTTGGCAGCTTCCAGCATGTTATCCATTATTCTTCCTCTGTGCCTCTGGCCAGGCCTTTCCCCCCTCTGCCGTCCCTGCCCTCTCTCCTCGCCTCCATCTCCCTTCTTCCTGTTCCCACCACACTCCAAATCGATACCCTGCCCTGTAAGAAGCCACTCAGAGGGCCACTTGCCCTTCAGGATTTAGCTCATATGCCCATGCCTCATGGAAGCCCTGTTTCATAGACCAGATTAAACATTTTCTTTGTGAGTTCATAGTATCTTATGTATATTTCTATGTTAGTTCTTGCCTTACTGTGTTTATTACTAGGTCAGAAACAGTTGCATATTGGTTGGATGTCAAACGTGCTGTTGCCTTCACTAGGCTGAGTTGCTGGGAACAGACCTTTGGGTCTGCTCATCTTTGTAACCCCAGAGGCTGACCTTTAGAAGGTACTTAATTTGTGTTAAAAAAAATGAATAGCATGTTTTTGTGGGCTATACTGAGTTTGATACAGATCAAGCACTTTGGCATTAGTAGGCAAAATTTGACTGTTTTGTACTTATATTTTATGTCTTTAAGTATAGTTATCACTTTTTGTTGCAGGAGGAACATTCTTCTAAGGATGGTCTCCCACTCAGAGTTGAGGAAAGTCTTCTGCTCGGCGGATGCAGTCTGCTTTGATGTCGACAGCACAGTCATCAGAGAGGAGGGCATCGATGAGCTGGCCAAGATCTGTGGGGTCGAGGACGCTGTGTCAGAAATGTAGGGACAGTCTTTATTCACTGTGGGAAATGACAAAGAATTGCAAAAGAGATTGACTTTGGATGACAGGCAGGATCAGGGCCGCAATCCTCTGATTGTAGTCCCTTGTTATGAAACACGGGCTCTAGGCTTTTCTTCCACCATTCATGGTTGAATCTGGTGATGCTCATCACCTAGTCATCCATTTATACGAATGTGGGTAAGACACTCTCTTAGCCTGGTCAGGGGAATGGTGACCATCACCAACCAAACAGGATGACTTGGGTGGGTCCGCCACGTGTCCAGTGCTTTGTGTCATGGTTGAAAGTGTGGCCATGGTGGTTTGCTGGACAGCTAGTTTTGGTTCAGAGTCTGTCACTGGGTACCTGGATGACCCCTCCTGCCCTCCTTGTGCTCTCTGTGGTCGCCAGGTTCTGGACTATTTCATGTTCAGCTGCGTTTGAGACAAGACATGGCTTAAAATATTTATGTGATTTTCAAGCAAAACTTTGTGGTTTGTTCTCATAGCATCATAGCTTGTCTGTTATCCAGGGGGCTGCAGGCAGCCCCTTCCCCATGGGTGGGCGTTGTGAGGAGCTGGGGGGTTAGGCACGTAAACTTTGAGAACAGCTGACTTGGCAGACCTGATTGTTGGGTCTTTCTCCCAGGACAAAGCGAGCCATGGGTGGGGCAGTGCCTTTCAAGGCTGCCCTCACAGAGCGCCTGGCGCTGATCCAGCCCTCCAGGGAACAGGTACAGAGGCTCATCGCAGAGCACCCTCCACACCTGACCCCTGGCATAAGGTAAGAGGAGCTCTGGTCTGGGTATATTGTCTCCCTATTAGCACCTGCATTTCGGGGCATGTCCTCCTGAAGGCATCTCACCATTACTTTATTTTTTTAAAAGATTTTATTGGTTTAGTTTGAGAGAGAGAGAGGAAGAGAAGGAGCAAGAGAGGGAGAGAAACATCAATGTGCGGTTGCCTCTCAAGCGCCCCTTACTGGGGGACCCACTCACAACCCAGGTGTGTGCCCTGACCAGGAATCAACCTGGCAACACTTCGGTTTGCAGGCCGGCACTCAGTCCGCTGAGCCATACCAGCCAGGGCAACACCGTTACTTTAGAGCTCCCTTCTGTGCGGTTCTTCTGGCACTTACATCAGTGACCCTGCCCGTGCCTGCCTTCACTCTCTCCCCACGGGGGCACGGCCTCCTCTTTATCTTGCGTTTCTAGGTCGAAGGGCAGACTACAGCTGTGGAATGGTTTCCTAAAACAGTCGAGCCCCATCCTTTAATTTTAAGTGCATTTAGAAAAGCATATATAAAACATTAACGCACCAGGCAATATATGCTTTGTCTGACATACCTTGGGCAAATGCATTCAGGAAAAAAATACATTTATGTTTTGGTTTCTTTTTTATGTTTTTTCTTTTGTGTTAAATGGTGTTTGGTATTTTATATTTCTTTTTTTTTTTTTTGCAGGGAGCTAGTAAGTCACCTACAAGAGAGAAATGTTCAGGTTTTCCTAATATCTGGTGGCTTTAGGAGCATTGTAGAACATGTCGCTTCAAAACTTAATATCCCATCAACCAATGTATTTGCCAATAGGCTGAAATTCTACTTTAATGGTAAGACTTTAATGGTAACATTTCCCCTTTCTCATCAGTTGTGGTTTTCACTATCCTAGGCAATGTCTGTTGGAATGCAACGTAAGCAAGGAGGCATCAGGGTTAAATACTGAAATAAAGACTTCTCTTGACTGATATCTTTTGCTCCTTGGTATCCTTTGTTCAGCAAAATAGTGTTTAGGTCATCGTCAGTATGTAAATACCTGTACTGAGTACAATGTTCATTTCTATGTAACTCACATGACTTATTTTGTCATGCATTATAGTTCAGTGTTATGAGAGCTCTCCTATATTTGACCTGATTTAGACTCAGGAAGGAGAGTCAGTTCATTAGCAAGTCACGGGGCCGCAGCTGCCTCTGGAGGTGCCTCCGGCCCCTTTAAGGGCCATTGCAGAGCCCCAGCTGTGGTTTTAGATGTCCCCCGTAAGGTCAAGGGTGGCCGACATCCATAAAGCCAAATAATACGATGGGGACATCTGAATGGTGTCAACAATAAAAATAAATAAAAAATAATGATATTAATTTAACAATCTAAAATGTGTTAATAGAACACTTTCGAATGGTCTATAGCTAGAGGTCATTAAAAAAAGAAGTGGAGAATGAGTGTAGTAGTTACTGTATGAATGGAAATAACTGATTGAATGTAAGTTAGAATTTCCTCTGACATGAAGTTATGTATTAACTTATTTTAAATTTACTATATTACCATTTCATGGTGTTCTGCTACCTTCATAAGGTTTGAGAATTACTACACTGGAAGCTTGGAGGATAAAACAGATTTACCACAAGGTGTTTATGGCATAAAGGAGCATCTGCAGTTTAAAAGCAAAGCTGGTTTACGCCGAGGAACGGGCGTGGGAGTCTAGGCCGTGTCACTTCACTGAGGACCACTCTGAGCTTTCTCGGTGACATTTCAGTGAGGCTACCATCTGTGCAAAAGCTGACCTTGCGGATGTAATTCTTCGTATCTTTAACCCTGTTTTAACTGCTCTTTTAAGGTGAATATGCAGGTTTTGATGAGATGCAGCCAACAGCTGAATCTGGTGGGAAAGGCAAAGTTATTAAACTTTTAAAGGAAAAGTTTCATTTTAAGAAAATAATCATGATTGGAGATGGAGCCACAGACATGGAAGCCTGTCCCCCTGCTGTACGTATTAAGCCTTTAAGCCTGCGTATCTTTTCCTGGTTGTACTTCTGTTTTAGATGGCCGACGTAGTAGAATTCAGTAAGATTGATGGGAGTTAAACAAAAGAACCTGAATATCAGGGTAAGATCAAAAACAATAAGTAAAACAAATTTAATTTTAATATGTCTGTTTATTTTTTGCAAACCCAAGAAAGGTTGCAAATAAGGAACTGAAAATCTTTTAATCTTCCAGCAACCTTCTATCCCTGCTGTATGGCCACCTCTTGGCCCCAGAGTGTACTCATGAAGGTTTGGCTTCATTTCCCCGAATAATACCACAAATAATACAGCTCCTGCAACTATAACCAAAGTTTTTACATCGCTGTATATTTGATAGACTGTTTCCTTACACATCATCTCATTTAACCCTCATAACAACCCCGTGAGGTGAAGTATCGTGGCCTTTTCACTGGTTGGAGAACTGAGGCTCATGGAGGCTCAATAATGAGTCTGTGCGAAAGATTCTGTTCTTCTCAGTTAATGCTGTTTCCTGAGACTGGCAGGAGACAGGTGCTGTGTAGCCAGTGTCCTAAGTATCAGAAGTGTCCATTTCACATAGGCCTTTGCCTTTATCATCTCATTCTATGAGGGAAAACTGAACCAAAAACTATAGTGGTGAACTTTTTTACTACCTAATTTCCTGAGATCTTAAAATCGTAATTGCCTTTGTAAATGATTCATCAAAAATTATTAAACGTCTTTTTGGAACCTTGTTAACATTACTCAAATCAGTTAAAGGGAACACATTGTTAGATAATTTACAACCAACACTGCGACTGACAAAGTAACGAGCACTGGGCTAGTTTAATGAGGGGTACACAGACATAAATGCAGAGTCCTCTCCGGAAGCTCCCGATCTGTGTCGAGATGGGACAGATTATATATTCCAGAATGTAATTTATAATTATATTCCAAAATTATAAATAGCCTGACTGAACTAAGAGAAAGTGGCGTGCGTGCAGGTGGGAGGCCCACGGGAGGTGGTCAGAGGAATCTGTGACCTAAAGGAAGGTTCGCAGGCACCCGGGCAGGGCTCAGGGGCCGAAGTTTCTGGAGGGAAGGGAGGCCGCAGAGCAGAGCGGGATGTACGAGGCACAGTTCTGGGCTGGCCAGTGGGCGAGGACCAGCAGGGGTTGGTTTCTCTTCAGCAACGACAAAGACCCTAGGTTTCCCCAGGCACTTGGGGTGCTACCTCTAGGTCACGGGAGGCCCTAGAAAGCTTTTGGAGAGAGAAGGAAAGAGCTGCTGTGCTGGCCCAGCTGAGCTGGTGCTTGCAAAGGCTGGAGAAGCCTGCTACGGGGGCAGGACGCTCAGTTAGGAGGCTAAGTTTACCTGCAAGGTACAAATCTACAATAGTGACTTTTTCCCACCTACTGTGGCATGAAAATTAAAATGAAGAGAAAGGGTAAGAGAATTTTGTACCTACCATTTAGTGTAAATTGTGTCTATATCCTGCCAGAAAAGGAGGAAAAATACTATTTTAAAAGACTTGGAAAAGGGCCCTCACCTGACCCTGGTGGCGCCCTGATCTCAGGCTTCCAGGCTCCCAGTCTGTGAGAAATAAAGTTCTGTGGTTTATAAGCAAAAAAAAAAAAAAAAGAAAGAAAGAAAAGAAAAAGGCCATTGAGTAAAGAAGGTATGACTTAATAGGAATTAATGAAACACTGTAACTTTAAACCATTTTAAATGATGAAAGTAGAGTGCTGCCAGCAGATATTGGGGCTGTCATCTCCCTCAGGCCAGGATTAACACGCGGGCCAGGCAGGGCAGAGGAGGGAGGGAGGAGCCAGCCTCTCAGGTTCCCGCAGGGCAGCACGGGGAGAGGCCTGCTCCGGTCCTGATCCGAGGCCCTGGGTGAGTCCCCCTGCACCACAGGCTTCTCTTTGATCTTCCCTCTTTGAAATTTCTTGGACTGGGTATGATTGCTGAAGTCAGACATTTACCACCTGCTGTGATTTTACCTCTGTAAGCCATTGTCTGGGTGGGAAGAGGACTTCCATTCTCCAGAAGCCAGCAGTGTCCAGGGAATGGGTACACAGTGGGGCCGCACATTCAGCAGGTGGGAGGTCCCAGGGAGCCGCGGAGGCACCGGACTGAAGTCGGCCTCACCTCTTTGCTTGGTGTATCCCCCAAACAACACTTCCTGCCCTAGGCTGCTACTGCATCTTTTACTTTTTTTTTTAATAAAACTATCCCCACCCCTTTCTTCCTTCTTAGGATGCTTTCATTGGATTTGGAGGAAATGTGACCAGACAACAAGTAAAGGACAACGCAGAATGGTACATCACTGATTTTGTAGAGCTTTTGGGAGAACTGGAAGAATAATCGATTTTTATATAGTGTACAACAACTTCGTATTCATTTGTAAAAGTTATACAGTTCGTACCGTTTACTTAAAATTGCCTATTACAACTTCATGGATAAATTTGGTACCAATTATCTGGACTGTCAAATAAACTATAATTAAGGCTTTTAGAAAGTTGCTTTAAAAAAAAAATTAAACTATAGTTCCAGTATATAACCATCAATTACCTGGAGAGTTTTATAATCTGAATTCATTATGTATTTTCCTATCTTTATTTTATTTGAAGCTTTTTAAAGGCAGAGAATAAATGACCATAAACACCTTCCCTATTGAAAATATGATTAGTCAGTGAATATTAGTTTTCCCTTTGGTATACAAGTAAAAGTTTATCCATATATCAGAAAGAATTAGGGGAATTTTTATTTCTGCCTGTCATGTATTTCAATGTCCAGCAGTTCAAGTGCTGTAGGTGTTTGAGTAGAAACAGCCTCAAGGCAAAGAACCAAGAGACAAAGTGGAGAAGCCCTCTGAGCGTAGGCGGGGTCCCCCCACCCATCCCCGCTACTCAGCCCCACCCGCCCCCACCCACCCTCAAACGGAGTGAAGCTTGAAATTTGTCATATACAGAATTGTTACCAAAGCTTAAAAAAAAAATGGAGTCTTAAATAAAAGTGGATATTTGATAATGCCATGAAATAAAAGAACTAAAAACAAATTTTATTCATCCCAAAGGAAGGTAGCCCTCTCCCCTAATGAATGAGGAAATAACTCCTAATAGCACATATGAACCATTTTTTGCTTACAGGTGACCTGGAAAGCCTTGGATGCCAGGTTCATGGTTCATTCTGAGCAGCGCCAAGAAAGGGAGATTTCAGAACATGGCTTTAAAAGTATGAGATTATATACCCTCCCTCGGGGAAAAATTGGGGAGAATAAACACACAGTTTTAGGAAGAGGCATGCAGTGGATACCACTGGATAATTAAGTAGAAAAGGCCAGAAAGGTTTAATATTGGAAATTACTTGAAAAATTAATAATTTAACCTAATCAAAGTTGGCCAAATAATCAGGTGATTATTTAGCCAAATAATCAAATCATATGAATCAAATTTCCTTCGAAACCAGAATTTCTGCCTTGGCTGGTGTGGCTCAGTTGATTGTGCCGGCCTGCAAACCCAAGTGTCGCTGGTTCGATTCCCAGTCAGGGCACATGCCTGGGTTGCAGGCCAGGTCCCCAGCGGGCGCCACGTGAGAGGCAACCACACATTGATGTTTCTCTCCCTCTCTTTCTCCCTCCCTTCTCCTCTCTCTAAAAATAAATGATTCTTTTGAAAAAAACAACAACCAGAATTTCTGTGGGAGAGATGTGAAGTAGGTTTGGCAACATTTAAATGAGATCACCAACAAGGCGGCAGTTGTTCCCTAACTGTGAATGCTTCCTGGCAGCTCTCCTAGACGCAGTTTTGTGCTCTGGGCAGGACCGGGCAGGCCAGGTCTTCGAAGGGTGCTGCGAGCAGCCTGGGCCTTTGCCATCGCCAATGTGCATGAGCTGAAGCAAGCCTTCCTCCGGAGCCAGAGGCCTGAGAAGCTGTTGGCCTGTCCCAGCCTGCCATCCACAGGGCAGCAGCCTGAACAGGAGGTGCACATGGAATTTGGCTCCAAGGAGTCTGATCTGCTGAGAAGTTGTGATACCAATATAAAACCCTTTAGGCCAACTACCCACCCCCTCCTCTGGCCCACAGGCTCCCCAGCTCTCTCTCAGCAAGCTGCACAAAAGCACTCACAGTTCCTTCTTTGTTGTGTTGGAGGGGTCGGTTTGAAGTGGAGCAATAGCTGCACTCACCTCTTTCACGCTTTTCCAGTTCTGGGCTCCTGGGGAAGAGCCACAGGGTGGCCCTCCCAGGAGTCATGGGCGTGGTTCCACCAGCAGGGGGCTCAGAAAGAGGGGGCAGTGTTACATGGCTTCCTGTCCTTGAGGCCATTTTTCCTGCTATCAACACTGCTTATGTAAACTAAAGAGGGTAAGAGCAGGGGGTGTGAAGAATGGAAATTAAGCTGAAACGAGTCCCTCAAAACTTTCATGTGCTCAAACAACAAGGCAAACCCATGGCCATCATCCCCTACTCCCACCCCCATCTCTTCGGGTTTGACTGCTGTTATGATTCTTCTGTCTCTCTCTTCTACTTGGAGACAAATGTTTCTCCATGACACCCAGGGAGTCCCACCCGGCTGCCACCCCCAGTGCAGGGCACAGGATTCTAGATCTGGGGCAGGGTTGTGGCCAGGGATTCAGGTGGTCGGCCTCAGTGGTGGCACAGGCATGATGACTTCTGCATCTGTGACGCTCAGGGTCTTCGTGATCAGGTTCAGAAAACTTGGGGAATGACCTGACCGCAAGTCACATTGCTGACTTGCACATTTTCCAAGGTGTGTTTATGTTTCCTCGTGAACCTCACCACCCCGAGGTCGGCAGAATAGATACCACTGTCCTCTTTTTAACAGATGGGAACCAAGCTCACAAAAATGAATGAGTGCTACGGAGTCACATTCAGAGCTGGGACACAGGCCAGTGATGCCACAGTCTTCTTCCCCTGCGTTACTGGAGAGTTCATTTATTAGAGGCAGGAGGTTTCGCCCTAAGCTGCTACTTACTAACATTCTGATCACCGGTGTTAATGTATATTAATAAGTAGATAACATTTTACTTCCTAGGATGGAAGGCCTTTATTGCAAAAAGTTGAAGTCTCTTTATAATGGTCACTGAACACTGGGAAAAGTGAGTTTTAGTACTAGTTAGAGGATCGTTCGGTAATTTCCTGCTTCCAATTCAGAATGTAATTCTATATGTTTATTGTCTTCCTTTTGATTACAAAAATTGTTTTTGTGGTTAAATTTTATTTGTTTAATCCTCATCCAAGGAATAAATGAACACTTAACATCGGTGTGAGAGAGAAACATGGACTGGTTGCCTCCCACATACCCCCTGCACACACTTGCAACCTAGCTACGTGCCCCGACCAGGAATCGAACCTGCAAGCTGGTCAGGGCTATTTTCTAACTAGGACTGACAGTCTGCACAGTTTCTATCCCTTCCTTCCCTCTCACCCTCTCTCCTTTCACATCCTCCCTCATTCTTTCTATTGATTCATCAAACATATCATTGAACATCTATGTCTCAGCCAGAAACCCAAAATATAAATTTAGGAAAAAAGTATCATGTAGAACTGAAAAAGAATCTCTCTTAGGCACTTGTGAGAAGAAGCGAAAAGAAGCAGGTCTGTCAAGTGCTAGTTTGGAGCAAAGTGTGGTTCTGCGAGGGCTTTTAAAAAGTAGCAGGGATGCCCTGGATGGTGTGGCTCGGTGGACTGAGTTCCAGCGTGTGAACCAAAACATGGCCTGTTCAGTTCCCAGACAGGGCACCCGCCTGGGCTGCAGGCCAGGTCCCCAGTTGTGTGGGAGGCAACCAATCGGTGTTTCTCTCCCTCTCTGCTTCCCTTCTCTCTCTGAAAAGAAATAAAACCTTAATAAAAAAGTAGTAGGGCTGATATCACATGAATGATAATTAACAATGAGTTGATTTATATCAGTAATATTCACCAGGCTTATACCCAATGAATGGAAAATGAGATTGGAAGTTTTAAATATTGCCAATGAAAATTAATAGTGGGGCAAATAATACAATTTATTTTACTATAGGGGTTTAATAAAAAGAGTGGGCAGGAAGTGCTAAAATAAAGTGCTAATTTGATAAATTAGCTTAATAGAATGATTCTGTCAAAAGTCAGTATGTTGCTAAATTAATGATCAGTTTTTGGACTTCATCCAAGCCAACCTTGCGGCAGCATTTGCCACGGGTGACCTCATCCTTGATGGGCTTTCTAAACTTGGCTTCCATGACACCCGACCTTCTCGTCTCTTCCTGTCTCCCTGGCGGTTTCTCACCCTCCCTTCCTGGTTCCTCCTCTCCTACTCCCCGCAATGGCACCGAGAGCCAGTTACAGAAATTCTGAGCCAAAGGAAGCTTAAATATGGTGTTCGACTGCCTCATTTTACAGATTAAGGAACTCAAAGAGGGCAAATACTTTGTCAAGGAGAGAGTCTGGACCTGAAAAAGCCTGTTCTTCTGTGGGCAGCCCCAAGCCCCCAGACGCCATGCTGCTGGCTCTGGGACGGGAATACTTGTTCCCCAGGACACCCCACCAAACCGCCAAAGGGAGCTGCCGACAAGTTTATTCAGTATTTGACTCTACAGACCCATATAAGCCCACTGAACTGGGACGAGCTCTTTTTCAAGAGCGAGAGGGTCATTCTTTCTCAGCACAAGGTCATAAAAAAAGACCATGAACATGTAATATGTGAAAAGTCAGAGAATTTTATTGACTTTCATAGGTTCTTAGAGAAAACCATTCACATGTAAAAGTTTGAAATTTGATATGAGATTTATTCACACTTTGTTACACATAAATTATTTAATTTGAGAGTGAGACAATTTTTCATTTCAAGAGGACTTCTACATGGTTACATTCACAAAACTGGCACACTATATTAAAAAACGAAATCAAACAGAGCTAGACAAGTATACAGCTTTATGCCAATTTAAATGTCAACACACACACCCCTCATGCACGATCGTGGAAGTATCTGCTGTGCGCTTACCAGAATATTAATAGAGAATGCCTGAGATCGTGAATGATTGTTTACAAAATAAAACCTCTTTTTCTAGTGCTTGTTTTGTAATAGAAAAATACTACAAATAAAAATTAGTGCTATTTAAGGTGTTCATTTTAAAATCACATATGATACACAGGTTCAAGCCATCTCCCCCTCTCACATGGAGATACTGCAACAACCCCATGTGAGGACCGAATCACTGAGTAAATCACCTTGGCAGCCACGACCAGCTTAGCAACGACACGTTTACTGCGCTCAATGACCGAAAATGAGAGTGCATTAGAATGTACTTAGGCATTAGGTTCCCTCATAATTTGTCCCTAGTCTGAGACTCAAAACCACTGCCAGAGAAACATGACAAAATTTGTGTTGCTTCCTGATACAAGAAATTTGTCTAAAAATCTGTAGTTATAAGACAGATTTGCCTTTTTAAAAGAAATGACTTTTTTCCATGATTAGATTCTTATTTAGAGATGATTCGAATTTTAGTTCGGGCTCTCTTTCCCTGGAGGCTGGGAGGGGGGTCAGTACTGTAAGGACATTGGACAAACACAGGGAGGTTTCCAGGAGGACTGCGGAGCACTGTTACAATCAGTCAAACTGTAGCAGTTTCCTTTCTTAGAATTATGTAAATTTTAAAGAAAAGAGGTCTCTCATAAGCTATGTACAGCAGTTTACATTTCAGCGTTTTTCACTTGATATACAATTAAAATTAATTCATGACAAATACTTGTCACAGAAATCTATGTAGGCACATCTAAAGTCGGCAGCTTTACTGGAGGGGCGAGGTCTTCAGTGGGATCATGATTCTGGATTCCATTTCCTGAATAAGTGGAACTGAAAACAGGAGCAAGATTACTGTGCTTGTTCTTTTCTAAGCAGATGACGGTCAATACACACGAATCGACAGGTTGCTGAGCATAGTTGGAAGTTGTGCTGCTTGAAATCACAGAATATTGGAAAATACAGGACTGACCTCAGGGTCAGAAATACGATAATGACAGATCAGCTAGCACTCTCTAAGATGTTAAAGTTGTAACAGATTCTGTCTGGAGATGTGTTTCATCTGCAGGAAATTGGGCAAATCCGTATTATGAGAAGGATAGTGCTTTCTCAAAAGGTTCTTTGAAGTAAAATAGATTTATAAAAATCCAAGTAAGACCGCATTTGACTATTCCCACACCGTACTGTAAAACTCACCACAGAGTAAAACATGCCTCCGAAAGCTGATGAAAGTGTAAGAATAAGCAGCAAAGTCACATACAGTCACGTGACTTTTTGAACTAAAATACGTATTTTCTACAACAAATCACTCTTTGATTTTCTTGGTAGTACATGGGATTACATATAGCAGGCACGCAACATGCTGGCACTGATCACCTGTCCCAGTGTCACTGGGTTCTATTCAGCCCCATTAGTTCTCTTACAATAATGAAGCACCTGTGATTTCATAGCATATATGCATGGGGGTATACATGCATGTACAAGTATACCTGTATATGCAAACACATATGTGTAGAAAATATAAATATCAAATTAATTTTCAAAATTACTATTTAATTGCTGTTTTATAATTTTTTGTGAATGAACAATTTTGATGGGAAAGGGAAAGCTTAGAAAAAATGTTACAAATTTTCAGACAATGTAGAAATGTACAAAAAAAGTAATGACGTAAAATCACACATGCAAGGGTCTGAACACTGTACCAGACAACATACACAGAAGAATGAGTATTCTTCTCTATTGGAAAGAGTCATATAATTATTAAAGGAGAATCTGACTCTCTCTTCCCCCTAACCTTACCATTCACCATCAAGAGCAACATACTATTTTTACTTCCAGCCAAGATGGAGCCGTAGGTAGACACATTGTGCCTCCTTGCACAACCAAAATAAGGACAACAAAAATTTAGAAACAAAATAACAACCAGAACTGACAGAGAATTGAACTGTATGGAAGTCAGACAGCCAAGGAGCTGAAACAGACACATTCACCCAGACCTGGGGCGGAGTCAGGCAGCTGAGCAGAGAGAGGTTGCCGCACGAGAAGCGGTGACACTGGGCACGCAGGCTGCCCGGGCATGCAACATGGCAGCAGGTGAACCCTGGGCGCACAGGGCCACTGCGGCTAGAAAATCCCAGGCACAGGGTGGCAATGGGCAGACCCAGTAAGGGGGAGACTGTGATGTGAGGCACTGCACCCAAGGTGGCTGGCTGACTAGGTGGCGGTCCCACATTTGCACACAGATAACTGGGGAGCAAGACAGACCATGCACGCAGCCCAGGGTCTCAGGCCCGGGAAATAAAGCCTCAAAACACCGACTGAAACCACCTGTGGGGGTGGACATGCAGGGAGAGATTCCCAGCCTCATAGGATACTTCGTTGGAGAGACCCACAGGGTCCTAGAATGCACACAAGCCCACCCACCTGGGAACCAGCACCAGAAGGGCCCAGTTTGCTCGGGGAAGCGGCAGAGGGGACTGAGGTCGGACCAAGAACAGAGCAAGCACCATTGTTCCCCCTCAGACCCTGCCTCCACATACAGCGTCACAATCCAGCAACTGGATTGCCCTGCCCTGATGAACATCTAAGGCTCTGCCCCTCATATGTAACAGGCACGGCCAGACCAAACAAAAAATGGCCGAAGCAGAAGAAGAGATCAAAGCTCCAGAAAAAATACACCTAAGCGACCAAGAAATAGCCAACCTATCAGATGCACAGTTAAAAGCACTAGTGATCAGGATGCTCACAGAATTGGTTGATTTTGGTCACAAATTACATGAAAAAATGAAGGCTACAATAATTGAAATGAAGGGAAATGCACAGGATACCAATAGTGATGGAAAGGAAACTGGGACTCAAACCAAGGGAGTGGACCAGAAAAAAGAAAAAACGTGACCAAACAGAAAAGAAGAAACAAGAATTTAAAAAAATGAGGAGAGGCTTAGGAACCTCCAGGACATCTTTAAACGTTCCAACATCCGAATTATAGGGGTACCAGAAGGGGAAGAGAAACAGCCACGAGTGGAAACCTTATTTGAACAAATAATAAAGGAGAACTTCCCCATTCTGGCAAAGGAAATAGACTTCCAGGAAGTCCAGGAAGCTCAGAGAAGTTGGACCCAAGGAGGAACATACCCAGGCACATCATCATTACATTAGTCAAGATTAAAATGAAGGAGAGAATTCTACGAGCAGCAAGAGATAAGGGGACAGTCACCTACAAAGGAGTTCCCATCAGACTGTCAGCTGATTTCTCAAAAGAGACCTTACAGGCAAGAAGGAGCTGGAAAGAAGTATTCCAATTCATAAAAGACAAGGACCTACATCCAAGATTACTCTATCCAGCAAAGTTTTCATTTAGAATGGAAGGGCAGATAAAATGCTTCTCAGATAAGGTCAAGTTCAAGGAGTTCATCATCACCAAGCCCTTATTATATGAAATGTTTTATCTTCTTTTTCTTATTTAAGAAAATAAGAAATATAGAAATATTTCTATAAGAAATATAGAAATAAGAAATAAGAAATAAGAAATAATAAATAAGAAATATCTTCTTTATCTTATTTAAGAAAAAGAAGATAAAAAACATGTATAGTAAAATAACAGCAAACTCACAATTACTAACAACCACACTTAAAACAAAAACCAACTAAACAAACAACTAGAACAGGAACAGAACCACAGAAATGAAGATCACATGGAGGGTTAGCAACAAGGGAATGGGAGGAGGAGAAGGGGGAAAATGTACAGAGAATAAGTAGCATAGATGGTAGGTAGAAAATAGACAGGGGGAGGGTAAGAATAGTATGGGAAATGTAAAAGATAAAGAACTTAAGACACATGGACATGAACTAAAGTGGGGGAATGTGGGTGGGAAAGGGTGTAAAGGGTGGAGGGGAATAAAGGGGAGGAATGGGACAGCTGTAATAGCATAATCAATAAAATATATTTACAAAAAGCACAACATACTATTTTTTAAAAAATCAATATGAGCTTCAAGGTGAAAGACCCCAAAATAGTAAGATGAGAAAAACAAAACATCTATGCCTGTTAAAATAGTACCTGTATAATACACCAGCTCTTCCCAGCCGTGTTTATGCCATGCTGCATTCCGTATGTCTTCCCTTGTCTGAAGGTCCTTGTAAGCTAAAAATAACCACACAGGAGAAATAAGACTTGAACCGGGGATGTCCAACCCATGGCCCACGTAGCTTAACACAAAATGATAAAGTTACTTAAAACATTAGCAGATTTTTTGTGATTACATGTTGTAATGTCATGTAAAATAAATGTATGTATCCTCTATTTGTACACACGTATGGTTTCAGTTTTACGGCAGTGTGTGGATTCCAGTGTGTCATCTTCCAAGGGCAGGCAGCAGAATTGACACCATCAGACGTTACATGTGCTCGTGGTGACTTAGTGAGGCAGCAATTATCAGTAATATTTAAACCTGTCATTGCAACATTAGGTGTTTAATGGTATTTAGAAGTCAGATAAGCTTTCTTATTTGATTATTAAAGGTACTTCCACACCTTGGTGGCACCTCACACATCGCCTGCCACTCTTTACAATCATCCCTCCCCCTTGCCCTGCAGGGCAGCCGAGAGGGCTGTGGAAGAGCCCGAACCTTGCTTCCTATTTTCCTGTCAATTGATTTTCATAATCAAAGTAAATAAAGTCCCTTATCTATTATTATTTTTAATCCCAGTATGGCTTCTACAATGTCTCAAAGGAAAAAAGAACCCCCCCAAAAGAAAAATTATGGATGAAGGAAGATTGTTCAGTGAAAAGTAGACAGATGACTACTTTTTTGTCAAGGCAAAATTTGTGCAAGTTTTCAAAGACTATAATTTGAAAAGATATTATATGCAAAAGCATGCTGCCAAATTCAATGCATATGAAGGACTGCATCATAAGGACAAAATACCAGAACTGAAAATAGGTCTGTCTTCTCAACAAAGTTTTTTCAGAAAGTTACAACACTGTAAAAGCTAGTTATGTGGTAGCACATTTAATAGCAAAAAAAAACAACAACCCCAAACCATTTACTGATGGTGAGTTTATTAAGCAATGTATAGAAAGTGTGGCACATATAATTTGCCCTGAAAAATAGGGGGATATTTTTAAAATCAGTTTCTCACCAGAGTATAGCCAGGCAAACTGAAGAAACTGGAAAATCTATCAAGAGAAGTTTGGAGAGCAAAGCTGCTAATTTTAAGTTGTATGCTTTGGTGATGGGTGATAGCACTGATGCTACAGATACGGCTCAACTTGCTATTTTTGTTAGAGGTTTTGATGCCGAATATAATGTCACTAAAGAAATGGCTTCTTCAGTGCCACTGAAATACACAACTAAATCAAGAGATTTATATGAAACAGTAAAAAATACGTTAAAGCGATTTTCTTTGCTCACTGTCCATATATCTGGTATAGTTACCGATTGTTCCTTGGCAATGGTAGGTAAAAGAGAGGGATTTGTAAGATTAATAGAAGTCGATGCAATTGCCACCCAAAACACCTTTGATGAAGTATCTTCGCACAGTACATCAAGAAAATGAATACACAAAAGCTTTAAAAGCTTCATGGACAATATCATGAAAATCATAATCAAGACTGTGAATTTCATAGAGGCCAAGGGATTCAATTGGCCTCTATTCAATTGGCAATTGAATCATTGCCAATTCCAGGAATTTCTTAAAAGCACTGATGCTGACTATGGAGACATTTACTTTTTGGAAGTAAGATGGCTAAGTCGAGGCCAAATGTTGAAAAGATTTTATGATTTGTTACATATTATCAAGTTGCTTATGGTATCAAAAAACATTTTTGTGCCAGAACTTCATGATGAAAACTGGCTTACAGATTTAGCATTTTTAGTGTATTTAACCTCACCTTTAAATGAGTTAAACAAGCGCATGTTTCAAACCACAACAGTGCTCTAAACGAATCTGAAATTACAGCAAGCTCAAATTAAGGCAAACAATTTTATGCATTTCGACATGTTGGCTGCTAAACAGTCCTGTGAACAGTGATAAATATGTAGCTTTGCTTTTTGATTTGATACAAGAATTTGAGAACAGATTTCAAGATTTCCGGGAAAATAATCAACATTTTGCTATATCTGCGACTCCATTGTCAGTTGACATAAATATGTTACCTGTCAATTTTCAAATGGAATGCACAGAGCTGCAAGCTGACATTCAACTTAAAGAAAAATTTGATCGTGTCTCTTTACTGCACTTTATATAGGTCCTGTCTTCCCAGAGACAAACACCCCTTGCTTCACAATCATGCCTTATTCACGTCGTCATGTGGCAGCCCCTACATTTGCAAGCAACTATTTTCAAGAATGAACACATTGAAGTAAAATTTGAACCAAAATATCTGATGACACCTTGAAAACTCCCTGAGAATTGCAACTGCTTCTAACAAACCAGATAGATGCACTAGTTTCTCAAATTCATTGTCAAACATCCCACTAGTTTTTATGTTGTCCTCGTTTCTTTTGCTTTTATGATAAAAATATTTTTTTAAAATCTGTGATATTTTATTATTTAGATATGTACATTTTCTATATTAGTGATCACAAACTTGGGACTTGCTTGATGATTCTAAAGATTGTCAAAAGGGCTGCTGCATAATTAGGGTTATTATGTGAGGACTTTTTTGCTTCTCTGTGGTGGCAGATACCACAAAAATCATGCACGTACCTTTTTTTTGCTCATCAGTTTTTGTTAGGGTTTGTGCATTTAATATGTGGCCTAAGACACCAAAAGGTTGGACACCCCTGACTTAAGCCAAACATAATGCCCTACAGTCCACTAGTACGCCCATTAAATATTGATTCAGCTGCTCATCTCTCTGAGAGACTACTTTGGGAATTTAGTAGAAAGCTGGGATAACTGTGAGCTGGTTATTCTGAGCAAAATTATGTTAGGCCTTGTGGGAGAAGCAAAACAATGCACTCTGAAAAATAATCTGCTGTTAAGTTTTCCAGTCCAGTGGGTCCAAGACATACATTAGAAACCTAGTGAACTTCTTCAGTAACATACTAAACTCATAACCAGAAACTGTCAGACTATAGGTAAGCAATATTAGGTTTGATTTTGCTCAATACTTATAAAACACCACGAAGATCTGGGTGAGACTGTGTTCAGTGCGGTGGAAAACAAAGGTTAGTAAAAGGAGAGTCGATCCCCGCTGAGCACTGTGGTGTCCCCGAGAGCCGAGCCCAAGAAGAGAGGAGCCTGGGAGAGCTGCCCGGTGTGGGAAGCTGGGAAGGTGTGATTGCACCAGGTGGGCCTCGAAGACTGAAGAGGAAGCATCAACATGCAGGAATGGAAGAGAAAGGTGCTCCAGGTGGAGGGGAGAACATGGTCAACGGCATCCATGTCCTTGGTGTCACGTGGTAGAATCCACAGATACCTCCTCTGGGTGCCTTGGTTTCTGAATCCCAACCTTCCGGCTACTTACTTCTCCCGGGCATCTCGACAGTATGTGGGTATCGGTCAGACCGGACGACCACGCAGGGCTCCCTGCTTCAGTTCTAGTGTCTGTTTGGGGACTACACATTCTCCCCTCGGGAGTTCCTTCTCCCTATGAGAAAGATCTACTCTTTGTAAGTCTGCCAGTTTAATGGTAAAGACAAAATTTCCCTTTACTAGTAACCAAATATAAATGAACATTCCAAAGATGCTGAGAAAGAAAAGGAAAAAGAAACTTCTGACCTCTTACCACCTGGCAAAAAACACGGGTAACACGTGAGAAGCAGCAGTGTTCTCACTGAGGTCAGGCTGACGCTCGTAGGGAACCAGGGTTGGGGAGGCCTTTTCTGTTTTCTTAATTTAAATGTTTCTATTGTGGTATAGTATACATAAAATTTACTATTTTAACCATTTTAAATGTATAATTTAGTAGCATTAAGTGTACTCACATTGTGCCACCATCATTACCATGCACCTCGCTAACTCCAATGTAAGCTGAACCACGACTCCCCACTGCACCGCGCCCCTGACCTCGAGTCTACAATCTGTCTCTGTGACCTTGCCTGTTCTAGGTACCTCACACGAGTGCAGTCACACAACGTTTGCCCTTTTGTGCCTGGCTTATTGCACTTAGTATGTTTTCAAGGTTCATCCATGACGTAGCATGTACTGGAATTTCATTCCTTTTTTATGGTTGATTAATGTTCTATTACATGTACATACCACACTTATGTGTTCATCCACTGACATTTGGGTTTGAGGAGAAAGACGGCGGGCAGTTGAGTACGTTCACACACTGAGGGGAGGAGGCCACAGACAGGGAGGTGGTGGAGCAGCCGGAGGCAGCCCGGCCTGGAGGAGGGGAAGGGGGTGTGGCGTCGAGTGCTCTGAGGCAGACAGCGAGGTCTGAGCCTGGCTCAGCTACAGAACAGCTGTGGGTTCTGCTTGATTCTCTACGGCACCGTCTATGAATTACAAGTATCTCACTTGTGGTGGGTGGGTCTAAGCGTTAAAGGAAATGATGTATAAAATAACCAACACACTAGACGTGTTTGATAAATACTGTTTTTTTGCTATCTTAAAAAATGTGGAAAAGTGAGGGTATGTTTTAAAAACTGGCGATTGAGAATTCGCCTCTGCCTATCTCAGTACTTTTTTGTGTAAAACAGGAGGTGGGGAGTGGACACCTGGGACACTGACTGGGGACTACACAGGGAGGGGGAGAAGGGCACAGCCTGATGAAAGGTGCAGGTGCTGCAACCTGGCCACCCTCGGAGGCTAAAACACCAGGCCGTTCCTGGCTTCCGCACCTCTGCGCGGAGCAGGATCCTGCGGGACTTCTCATCTTGCTGCTGCTCCGTGAAGCCTCAGTCTTCCCACGGGCAGAGTTAAGGGCTCTGCCCTGTTCTGCCACTCACGCCCCAGTGCCTGCCGGTGTGCAATTCCAGACTCCTTCAACCGGGAGTCCCTATCCAGACACGCTGTAGGCGCTGATGTGAACAGAGAGTGTGAGTGGCTTGACCTCCTCCCAGGAGCCAAAGCACAAGCTGATCCCGACCCATCACGTCCCTGCGCGGACTGTGTGTGGGAGGGTGAGCAGGAGCCGCCCTCAGAGGAAGGGGCCTCTCTGGGCTCAGAGGAAGGGGAGGGAGGGAAGAGGCCTGACTTTTCGGTTTATAGCCTCTGCGCGGACTGTATGCTACTTAAAAAATAAAAACTACTTCACCCCTCACTCAAGTCCATAAAGGTTAAACTAGATTTAGCACATTCTTTTAACTGATTATTTTTAATATTTATTTAAAGATTTTTATTCATTTATTTTTAAAGGGGAAGGGAAGGAGAAAGGGAGAAAAACATCAATGTGTGGTCGCCTCTCACGTGGCGCCCACTGGGGACCTGGCCTGCAACCCAGGCATGTGCCCTGACTGGGAATCGAACTGTGATCCCTTAGTTCGCAGGCCCGTGCTCAATCCACTGAGCTACACCAGCCAGGAGATTTAGCATATTCTTAAAAGGCAGAAACATAGGACACATTCATTAAAGATCTGTTTCCAAACTACAATTGAAAACTCTTCCGCTTAGGTCAAATCTCAGCTAGGACGATGCTGCCTCTGCCGTTCTGTGGAGCTGAGGTTATTCGCGGCATCTATCATTTGGTTAGGGGTTTTTCCATCTCAGACACAAGGCTGAGATGAGCACCTGCTCAGAACAGTGACTGGTAGGGGTGAGGGTGGGGGTGTCCTTTCCAGACCTTGAAGGTTCGGGGCCAGGGAAGGGGAAGTGGGGTTGGATGCTGTTTCTAGGAGCACAATGTAAAAACTACTTTTCTTGCCTTAATTTACCCATTCAGACTTAGGTCCCTGGCAGATATTCTACCATTCAGTCAGTCGGAATTATCTGCAGTTTTCTGAGCACTTTTTGTAATTTCCCACGTCACCATCGCTGACCTAGCCTTTCCATCCCCCCTTTACTTGTCAATCCCATCTAGATCCTGAAGTCCAGCTGACAGCCCACCTTTTATTAATTTTCACCACACACGGTAACTTCATATCCCTTTAAGAGTTAGGAGTGCCCCAATCACACACTGCCTCATGGCACGTCACTCGTGTTTGCTTTACCCCTCGTCAGACAGGCCACCTACCTTTGTAAGCCCGACAGGCTGACACGGCAGGAGACAGGGTGTGGCGCTGGGTGAGACTAAACAGGGGAAGCTAACACCTCACTTCACTGATATGGTCTAGAAAGAAGTTAAGCTTTTTTTCTTTCTTTGTTTTATTCTCACCCAAGGACATGCTTATTGATTTTAGAGAGAGGGGAAGAGAGGAAGAGACAGAGAGAAACATTAACGTGAGAGAAACATCGATCAGTTCCCTCCTGCTTGCATCTTGACCAGGAACCGAGCCGGTGACCTTTCAGTTTATGGGATGATGCTCCAACTGACCCATACCAGCCAGGGCTGCTTTTCCTTTTTTAAACTTTAATAACCATTTACAAATGTGCCCAGAGCATCTGGCAGTATTTATACCAAGCTGTTACTGAGACCCGGTTCCCATCCTAGCAGAAAGGTGAATACAAAGTCACAGCCGTGACTCAGTGGCTCAGGAGGAGAGGGGCATTCACTTGGGGGGCAGGGGAGGGAACAAGAGTCAGGCCTGAAAGACACGGGAGATGGAAAGAGCTGGAGGAAAAGGCCTCTGGGACGATGGAAGAAGACCCACGGCAGGTGGTGAGTTCACGAGCAGGGAGCTCTCAGGGTACAATGCAGGACTGTCTCTGAGGGAAAAATGGAGCGGAGCGTGTCTGGAAAGGGTGGTGGCGCCACGCCGTGAAAGGCACTTGGGGCTTTATCATCTGCCTCTGCCGTGTTCGCTGACTTCACTTCTTATTCCCTTCACTATTATTCCCTTTGGATTATCAGTTTACCAAAAGTCTATGGGCACTTTGGCTCGACTTCTTGTTCTAGACAGCCCCGTACTTACCTTCCATCTGTGATGTTTGAATTTGCTACAGTGTTTAAGCTTACTGACTTGAGATACACTTTACTGCCTATTTTGTTTAGTAATGAACTGTGAAATCCCAGTAATACAAAAATGAAGGAAAGATAAATACCCCAAAGATGATGCACCATATACAACTGCCCAATCTGAGAGAAGAATCCGCCAACAGCTTCACTGCTGTCCTGTCTGAAGCGAATTGCACGAGCCCTGCAAGAAAGAAAACAATGTTCAGATACTGAATTAGTATGTTAAAAATGTTGATTTCCTCCATACTCTGAGCAAGCTTTTCAGAATGTATACTAATTGTTTTTTATCAGATACAAATTATTTTAATGTATGTAACATGTATCTTTCTATAGCTACACTAGCCATTTTTGTGAGCAGTTAATGACTACTAAAGAAAAGTGTGAGGATACATGGTTGCACTGCTGATGCTTCATGAGTCAAGCAAGTTGGCAGAGGACAGGACCTGTAAACAGAAGATTGCTTGTCCAAGATCTCACTGAAAAACTGAGGGAAACCTGGATATGAAACCACCTGAGATGTCAGAGGAAGACAGGGACCGCCTCTCAAGAATGGGGTTTAGGAAGAGATGAAGGAACCACACCTTCAAAGCAGCTGGAGACAGGGAACTCTTGAGAAATGCGTGAGCTCTCTGAACTATAAAGGTGATCTGCCGCCTCCTGGGAAGCATATGGGGCCATGAAAGTGGAGCTTTTTGGCTATACACCATCACCATCAAAACTGAAGACACCTCTTGGTTTTTCTTCGTACCGGTGCAGACCATGAGGAAAATGAGTACCAAATGGCATTCATGACATACTATGTGCGAAGGGAAGGGTGTTCGTATGTTGTGTCTATGTGTGTGAGATGAAATTGTGATTAAATTGGTTAAAAGTTGGCATGTCTTAAACTTCTTTTCAGATTTCCTGTTGCAAAAGGTATCAGCTCGTCAAACACCCTTTTTTACATTTGTTCCAGGTACTTTATTTTTATATGTAGTGATGCATCTGAAATGCTAAAAATGTTTTAAAAATGTATATATTTTTCCAAAAGCAGTTTTTAGAATTTAAGTTAAAAAAATTGTTATCAACACTGCCCAGGCTTTGACCTGAAGTCTCAGTGACATCATGGTCCCAAGTTGATGGGACAGGGGAAGACGCAGTCACTTTAATTCATTTTACAGAGCCGAAGGCACATGAACACGCATACCGACCTACGGATTTGTAAGGTGAGAGACTTAAGTCTCTGGGGACAAGATTTTGAGATGGCTTGATTAGTGCATTCTCTTCTTGGAGGCAAACATCACAGCAACTGAATGAGAACGTCTCTGAGGGGCCAGGGGAGTATGGGATCAGGGCGGGGCAGCCTGCGGTGGCAGTGATGAAGCCAGGCTCTCCTCAAGGTCACCGTGATCCTCAGTTCTCATCACCCATGTGCTCAACTTCACGAGGGTTATTCAAGTTTCAGGTGATGGAAGGATCGCTTGCTATTGCTTGCCCCCAAGGATTACCCACAAATAATATTAAATTTTAACTTTTGCATTTAAAATTAATTGATCAGTATCTTCACAAAAATTACAAATCCGATTGGTAAATTATTGAGATTAATCAAATCACATTAATGTGCATTCCAACTCAGAAGGAAAAAAAATACTCTTTCATTAATACTGATATTCAGGATTATTCATTTCATTTTGATTTTTTCCAATTTAGTTACAGTAGGCAAAGAAAACATACTTGCCTTAGCCTGGTAATAATCAGAAGCATGTACTGAAGAGATCACCATCTTAAAATAGCCACCTATGTGCCAAAATATAAATTGAATGCTGAACTGACCTTATAAATAATTTTTAAAGTGAAGAATAACCTCAGACCTTCCTTGTGGATTCGTGGTAGGCAAGCTTTAATCAGTAACATACGAAAAACAGAACTAATGAGCAATCCTCTCTATGGACAACTGAATTATTACATATAAAGCCCCCCTTAAGCCCCTTAAAAAAGTGATGTCTATAATAGTATTTGAGGGAAAGCCGAGTTTGCCACCCTAAAATATGCCTTTTGGGACATTATTTTAAGCCATTTATTTTTAAGAAATGGAAGACTCAGGAAAAGCCTTTGACCTTCCCCCAACTGCCTAAAAGAACTTAGCCCTGCCCCAGGAAGGGAGCTATGACCACGCTAACTCCAGTGTCACATGAAGTAAAGGCCAACGGTCAGGGAGGGGCCCAGCAAGGCCTGGCTGATCACAGTCCTCTGCGTCCCAATGTTAAAGGCCCAGCGAACATTCATTTACCAAATGTTTGCCTTTTTAACTCCATGTGAACTGCCTTCCTGCCCTTTGAAGTCCCAAACCACAACTCCCTTCTTTTTGGCTCACGATGGCACAGAAGCCTTCACTGCCGATCTGTCCGGGGATCTCCCATTCTTATGGAACCTCCACACGTATATACATAATAAATCTGGACATTTTCTCCTGTTGGTCTGTATCATGTTAATTTGACTATTAGTCCAGCCACAACTTAAAAGAGTAGGAGGAAAATGATTTTTTCCTCCCCCACATTTACAATAAAATATTTCTTAGTTTTCAAATTAAAAGAAACTCCAACTTGCATTCTTTAATCTTTGATGACCTAAGACAAAGGTTCATTACAAAGATCACAGAACCATTTTCTGGAGCTGGAAGAGATCTTAAAAATTACCTAGTCCGATGCAAGAAATTTCATAATGGAAAAAAGAGCATACATAAGTTGAGAGTAAGTAAAAGTCACAGGTTCCCTTTTAAAGATAAAGATACACCAAGGGTCAATAGCTGACCAATGGCCAATAATCTATTTTTGTATCCCTCATAATTATTGAGGCTTTGTATATTTTATCTTCAACTTGTCTTTTCTCTTACTATTATAATAGGATTACATAAAACAACATAAAGTTATAATGGTGAAAGTTGGTAGTATTTTGTTTTAATAGTAATAGGCGTGCTTCTTGTGCTTTGCCATTAAGCTTAGTGTAGCTGTTAAAATGGAGAGACGGTAATTTCATCACGTAAACCAGGGCCAGCAGATCACTGGCCTTGGGTGAAATCCCACCCACTGAAGTTTGTTTTTATGGCCCAGGGGCTAGGAACAGTTTTTACATTTTTAAGTGCTTGGAAAAAATCAAATAAAAACATTATTTCATGACACGTGAAAATTATGAAATTCAAAATTCAGCATCCATAAATAAAAGTTTTGTTGGAACACAGTCACACTTACTACTTCTTTCCTAATAGCCCATGTTTGCATTCCCATTACCACAGCACTTAAGCGACCTGTGACCCATCATGGTCCACAAAGCCTATAGTATTTACTACCTGGCCCTGTACAGAAAAGTTTGTGCCAACCCCTGATTCAGGTAAAATATTCTGTATTCCTGACTTTTTAAACTCCTGGTTTTTTAAAATTAGGAATTGGTGTCTCTAATAAATGTGTCAAATCTTATCAAATGCCTTGTGAACATGAATTAAGATGTATTCTGTTTTTTAATTATGAAATATTTCAACCATTCTAGTTACCCAGATTTTTAGAACACGAACACTTTGTGTTTGCTTCAGATCTTTTCAAAAAGACACAAACACTGCAGCTCCCTTTCATTCCTCCTCACTCCCAGCCCCTTCTTTCCTTCCTTATCAGTTACTTTGGAAGTAGTTATCTCTTTTGAATACAACTCTTCTTGTCCATGGTTTTATATTTCTAATGCATATGAATGTATCTATGAATAATCATCTTTTTATATAGCTCTTGTTAAATATTTATGTAATTCTTGTATTATCATCTTAAAATTTACATAAAAGACATCATGTAAAACATATTCTTCTTTAATTCTCCTCAACATGGTGCTTCCAAGATAGATCGTTAACAGGTACTGATCAGGTTTACTTTGACCACTAGACAAAATTCCACCGCACAAATATACTATAATCTTTCCACTATGGAATACAGCTTTACAGTTTTGGCAACTGCAACTGACTTTTTTATGTGACCACTAGTTTCTGTCACCCATCCAACATTTCCCGACGACCAGGATGTGCCGGCCTCTGTAGATGGCTGCAGACCTGACTGAAGCGTTGCTGAGGCGTGTGAATGCTCCCTCTGGCACAGGCATGGCAGTGACGTGTCGGGGGCACAGAGGCCGGAGCACATGTGCCGGGCACCTATTCCGGCCTCGACTGTATGTGTTACATTAACTGATTTCCTCACTTTGAGTCATCCTTGGATTCATGTAAAAATTCTTTGGTGAGGTATGTCATTAGCATCTTTATCAAGGTGTATCTTACATATCATAAAGTTCACCTAAGTGAGCAATTCCATGCTTTTAAACTTACAGGCTTGTGCAACCATCACAATCCAATCGTGCTAAAAGATCCCTTGTGCCCATCTGCAATCTTTCCGTTCCCCTCCCCTAGCCCTAGGCAACCACTAATCTTTGTGTCTAGATCTGCTTTTCTGGACATTTCATACCAATGAGATCACAGACTCTGGACTCCTTTGTACTGGGCTCTTTCATATTGCATATTGTTGAGGTTTATCTACATTTGTAGCATGTATCAGTAGTTCATTCCTTTTTATTGAATAGTATTCAGTTATATACATATACCATATTTCTTTGTTTTTTTTGCTGATGAGCGTTTAGCTTGTGTCCACCTTTTGGTTATTATGAAAAATGCTGTCTATGATCTATGTGTGTAAGTTGGTATGGATGTATTCTTGACTTTCTAAGGTGTACACCCAGAAGTACATAGTCATCCCGTGTGTCCTGTGGTAACTCCATGTTCAATATTTTGAGGAACTGCCAGACTATTTTCCAAGGTGGCTGTACAATTTTATTTTTCTCACGAGTACTTTATGAGGCTCCCAATTTATCCACAACCTTACCAATACGGTATTATCTTTTTAGTTATAGCCATCCTAGTGGGTTTGAAGTTGTATCTCACTGTTTTATTTTGCATTTCCATAATAACTGATGATGCTTAGCACCTTTTCATGTGCTTATTAAGCATTCACGTATTTCCTTTGGTAAAATGGTTATTCCAACCCTTTGCCCATTTAAAATATTTTTCAAAATTTATAGTTTTCCTTATTTTTATTATGGTAAAAAACACATACATTAAATTTACCTCAATGATTTTCAACTGTACAGTTCAGTAGTACCAAATCTATTCACAATGTTGTGCAACAGATCGCCAAAACTTTTTCATTTGGTAAAACCAAAACTTTATACCCACCAAACACAGCACCCCTCCTCCCAGTCCCTGGCACCACATTTTCATTTTCTGTGATTTTGAGTACTTTAGATACTTTATATTAGTGGAATCATACTGTATTTGCCCTTTGTAACTGGCTTATTTCACTAAGCTTAATGTCATCAAGATTCATCCCTATTGTAGCACGTGGCAGGAGTTCCTTTTGAAAGGCTTCATAATACTCAATTGTATGTATGTACTGCATTTTCTTTACCCCTTCATCTGTCAATGGATATCTGAGTTCTTTCCCCCTCCTAGCTACTGTGAATAATGCTGCAATGAACGTGGGTGTGCAAACGTCTTTTTGAGATGCTGCTTTGAATTCTTTTGTATACTCAGTACTGGGATAGCTGGACCATATGATAATTCTGTTTTGAATATCTGAGAAACTTATGAACTGTTTTCTGTCATGGCTGCACTGTTTTAATTCCTACAAACAGTGCACAAGGTTTCTGACTCTCTGGAACTTTGCCAATACTTATTATTTTCTGTTCTTTTAATAATAGTCATCCTAGAGTATAATATATCTCATTGTGGTTTTGATTTGCATTTCTCTTATGATTAGTGACGTTAAGCATTTTTTCATATACTTTTTGGCCATATGTATATCTTTGGAGAATTACCTATTCAAGTTCGTTGCCCATTTTTTAAATGGGTTTGTCTTATTGAGTTGAAGGATATTTTTATATATTCTGCATATAAGTCCTTTATGAGATATATGATTTGCAAAATTTTCTCCAATCTGTGATTTGTCCTTTAATTTTTAAAATGATATCCTTTTAATTACAAAGGTTTTAAATCCTGATGAATTGTATTTTATCCATTTTTTCTTTTGTGGATCATGAGTTTGGTGTTATCTAAGAACTCACTGCCTAATCCTATATCACAAAGATTTTCGCCTATGGTTTTCTCAAGAAGTTTTATATTTAGGTCTACAATTCATTTTTGATTAATTTTTGTATATAAAGTAAGGTAGGGGTCTAAATTCATCATTTTGCTAAGATATCCAGTTGTCTTAGCATCTTTTGTTGAAAAGACTATTTGTCCCCATTGAACTGCCTTGGTACATTTATCAAAAACTAATTAATCATATCTGTGTTTATTTCTGGACATTCAATTACACTCCAGTGATCTGCACGCAGGTCCTTATGTGAGCACCACACTGTCCTGACCGCTCTAGCTCTGTATCAGTTTGGAAATGCAGAAGTGTGAGTCCTCCAACTCTGTGCTTCTTTTTCAAGGTTGTTTCACCTACTTTGGGTCCTTTGCATTTCCAAAACCTGCTGGGAGATTTTGATCAAGACTGTGTTGAACTTATAGATCAGTTTGAGGAAAAAAATGGTATTCCACTAGTTAAACAAAGAAGAAAAAAGTAGCAGTCCTATCATTTTGGTGCTTCATTTATATGACAAAAAGCAACATTTCAGAAAAGATAATGTCCAAACAGAATATAAAATAAACTTATGCAACACTGGGGTTTTGTTTGGGAAAATAAAAAGGGGTCCTTATGTCTTAGAGAGATATACTAAAATATTTATGGACAAAATGGTTTGCTGTCTGGGATTTCCTTCCTAATAATATGGGCTGGGGGAGTTAGACCTAAGCAAGACTGGCCATGTGTCGGTAAGTATTGAAGCTAAGTAATGGGTATGGAAGGGGGGGATTCATGGTATTACCCTTTCTAGTTTGTGTATGTTCGAAAAATTTCATAGTAAAAATGTCAAACAATACATATCAAATTACAGCATTATCCCTGGAATTTATTCCTAAAATTAACATGATAGCCTCATATAATCTATCAATAAGACTTACAGCCCTGGCGGGTGTGGCTCAGTGGACTGAGTGCGGGCCTGCAAACCAAAGGGTCGCCGGTTTGATTCCCAGTCAGGGCACATGCCTGGGTTGCGGGCCACGTCCCCCGTGGCAGACATGTGAGAGGCAACCACACATTGATGTTTCCCTCCCTCTGTTTCTCCCTCCCTTCCCCTCTGTCTAAAAATGAGTAAAGAAAATCTTTAAAAACAAAAAAGACTCACAAACTCACCACCTAGTAATATACTCACCAGTAGTTGCCCCATTCAATCATAGTTCCAGGCTGAAAAGAGATTTGGGTTTTGGTTTGTTAGTTATTTTGTGAAGAGATATAGAGATGTAAAAAGTAACAAATGATAAAACTAAATAAAAAATTAACATTTAATAATGTGAGGTGTAACAAATAAAAATGTACAAAATAATATTATTCACTGCGTTCATACCTATCCCTTGGTGGAAATAATGTTCTAATGTTCTATGGCTTCATATAATAAGACAACATACAGTGTGGGGTAAAAGTAGGTTTACAGTAATGAGTACACGAAACCCAGAGTTTATTTGTGTATTATTACTTTTAAATTATTGTATTATTTTCCATATGAACAACTGTAAACCTACTTTTGCCTTATCTTAAGTCATCCAGTTATTAACGGTGATCACAACCATAGTTAGGCCCATCCTCCAGATGCACTTAATTATTAAACTGCTGGCACCCACTCAGACTTTATTGTGAAATTTTAAAAAATTCAATTTAAGTAAACTTAGTAAGGATATCATTTCATTTTTTCCAGTAGAACAGTGAATGTCGGACCCCAAGATCGACTGACATGTATTCCTTTGAACAAGGTTGCTATCTGCAGCTTTCTTGCTAGTAGTGACTTAGTGGCAAACACCTAGAAAGTCTTACAAAACATTATTTATTCCTTTTCATCTTATTGTGGTGTCCAACTTATTCAACAGTCACATGCTTATTAGTTGTTCTATTTCAATTACAATAAATGCTATATGTTGTACCTAGTCCCGCATTTTAGGTCTTTCCTTTTAAAAACAGAATTGCTACATAGTGCCAAATAATTGGCATAAACATACAATTTTATGTTTAAAATTATAAAGACAAAAGAGCTTAGCAGAAGAGAAGGAATGAGAAATTAAGAAGATTTTTTGGAAAAGGTAATAAGAGAAGGAGTAGACAGGTGAGAAAACCAGCCAATCAAAATATAATGCCAAACACATCACAGAATGTACACTCAGCTGTTTTTGGTCAGCATTAAGGGTACTCATGCTTCTTTGCAGAAGAATGAGGGACAGTTAACTCCTATTTCAGTACTTACTCGAAGTTGGTAAGATCTGAGTTCATATATATTAGGTCCTGACCGTGGAACAGGCTCATTCCAGAAACTGAATTCTAATAGCAGCTGATTCTTCCTAGAGAGAAGCATGTTGCTTCTTGCCTTCCGGAATTCCAAAAATTCCTTTGAGTGAAAAAAAGGTGCTCATGAACTCTTCTACTATTTATTCATAAGCTTACGTTAGTAACAGTTATGTTCCTCCTATAATAGAACACTCTTACAAATATGGTCTCAGTTGTCCCTATTAGTATTCTCTTTCACTACCAAGTGTCCAGGTTCAGGAGACAAGCTGCACGGCCATCCTAGTTATTTAAATGACAACATAAACACATGTAATGGCTTACAGTTTAGGTTCTTCTAATAGTGTCGGACAGCATCATAACAGAGGTGACATGGAGACCACAAAAATATCAAATAACCCAGGAGCACCTGAGATCTTGCTTCCTGGCACGTCATCAGTTTTGCTCAGATAAACTAATAAAAGCTCAAACACAAAGACACAAAAAACTTCAAAGAATCCAAAAGCCATTTTTGTTTGGACTGGGAAGCTATACAAAAGGTTTCCTTTCCTAATAATGTGTAGCTGTTAAAATTCTCTCCACCAACATGAGACTATTAGTGAAGGGAGGGACAGGATAGCAAAGTCAGTTCAAGGTCAAGTATATGTAGTTGGACGTTACCAAAGCAGAGGTGTGTTAGCTAACCTAGGCTGATTCTGTCCACCATGCTGATTTACTGGTTTCAAAGAACCAGCTTATCATTTTCTAAGTACAACTGACTTTCACAGTAAGAACTGTTATTTTAATAGTATTACAATGGGTTACTTTATGTCTGAATACATCTTCAGAGTGTCCAAATAATAAAATTTGTATTACAAAAAGTAGTTTACCAATGGTAAAAAAACTGATGACAGAAGTTATTTAATTCTGTACTGGCATTACTATATTACTAACGTAAACAAGTGAACAGTTTTCAAAATCATTACCTGATTTTCTCTGAGTTTACTCATGACCTCTGTGAGGGCGGGATAGCCTCCTTCATACCTCCAGAGGTGGACTGGAATATATTTTAAAAGATAACATACATTTAGAGTTTCATGATAATCCTGCCTTGGAAATATTCTAGATATGCATAGTATTAACACGGCACAAACCTGTAATGTGCCATGGGTTGGCCTATGAGTTACACTATAAAGTTACAACAATAGATTTAAACAATGAAACAGTAAAATAAAATGTCTGCAGTGAATTACTGGAGAAATGATTTTAACCACAGAACCAGACTGAAACATGGAAAGCTTTGATTATAAAAACAAGCATTAAATTAAATATTATTTAAAGGCTTAAGGAAGAGTGTATTCCAAAGACTTCAGCTTCCTACCAGCTTGATCCTGTTCGCCATACCACGTGTTCCAAGTCCCCACCAAAGTGCAAGGGTAATGTTTATCTTCATGGATCTTCAGCAACACCTCTTGACTTAAAGAGAAGAAATAGTAACATTAATTAAACAACCAACAAAAATTCACCAGGTGTACAACATGTGACCAGTAACAGGAAAAAGGCCATCGACCCCATGTTCTGACAACTGACCTCAGAATATATTTATGATAAAACAACATGCAAAATTAACCTTTTACCTGAATTCTGTTCTACTGGTACCTCACTTATCAGAAGCTTAGGTTTCTGATACCTCCAGATGTATCTAGAACATTGGGAAGCAACTCAAGTATAGTGATAAAAATGATAAAGAGGAGCCAAAGGTCCCAAGATTCCAGGAACTATGAGTCTACTATTTGTCATTCCAGAAAGAACTATTTGAGAATGGTGACATTTATAAAAGCTAAGTTTTGCTAATTTGAAAGATAGGAAGGACAAGGGAAATGGGAATAGAAAAAGAATACTGGAAAAAAATAAGAAAGGGAAGAAAGTAATGTTCGAGATGGGGAGACGACAGAAGTGGCACAATCAGGCAGAGGTAACAGGGGCAGAGAACAGCCGGCCTCAAGTAAGGAGGGAGAAGACAGAGGTAGAACCCAACGCAGCTCCAGTAGTTCCAAAGGGCATCGGTGTGACAGAAGAATCCAATGAAAGACACAATGTAAAGCAATAATTAGGTTCCGCTGAATTCAAGTGAGGGGATTTGAGAGGTACCTCGTAACTCCACGTCAGACACACCACCCGTTCTGTAACCACTGATGGCACAGCAGCAGAGGCAAGGCCCTGACTGACAGGCATGGCACAGTATTAACTGAACAGATACCTCTGCTCAGTATCGAGCTTGATTATATGGAAACCTTCCTACAGCACAGAGTCTAATTTACTGGGAAAGGCAAAGGAAAGAGACCTAACTATGCCATGCCAAGAGAAAAGCTAAAGCCTGTATACTTTTTAAAAAAATATTTATTTATTTTTAGAGAGGGGACAGGAAGGAGAAAGAATGGAAGAGAAACATCAATGTGTGGTTGCCTCTCATGTGTCCCCCACTGGGGACCTGGCCTGCAACCCAGGCATGTGCCCTGAGTGGGAATGGAACCAGCAACCCTTTGCTTCACAGGCCCGCGCTCAATCCACTGAGCTACACCAGCCAGGGCAAGCCTGTATACTTTTTGAATAGAAAAATTATGATGAAATAATGCAATTCAACAACAGACACAAAAAGACATCAAGGTTCAGAAATGGAACCTGTTCAAATTGTTTGCTGACGTGGAGCAACATTAAACCAGCAATCACTACTAGAGGCTGGGGCACGTGGACAGGGTGTGTTTTAACGGTTAACAGAGGAGAAGCCAGAATGGCCTTATGTCTAACTAAAAACCCATAAGAGCAAATGCCATCCTTCAGAAGATACACATGGTGTGGTCTTGCACTGGCTCCTACAGACTTATGTTCAGAACTAAAAGGACATTAATGGAAACTGGGGTGTGGAAAGACCATTAGGGAAAAGAAAGTGGGCCTCCTTTTCTTGCCATATGACATGAGCAAGAAGTAAACAGCCCTGAACTGGAGCCGATGTGGAAGAAGGAAGCCTGTACTAATGACCCAGGTGGGGTCCAGGAAGGGGCCGGGGACTGACAATGGACATAGATTTTCAATACAAAATCATATATATGGGTTTGCAGCCAACCCTTTGTTGAAAGTCCTCAACCTGCTCTTGGAAGCTCTGGCTCTACCTGATTGGAGGTTCTAAGGTAGGCAGTGTCTTCCCAAACGGGTAGGTTGGGAAGAACCTCATTATTGGGGCCCCAACAAACCAGGCAGGAGTTAAGTACTAATATCACTGAAAACTAGGAGTTGTTGAAGTTTCAGAGTAAAGGAAAAAAAAAACAAAAACGTGACGAAGGAGAAAAAACTTGAGCAGATCAACTTGACAAATTTTTGGGACCGCAGGCTGGGGTGGAAGTACAGGTACAGCTACAAGTCCAGAAGGAGTCAGAAAGGTCGCTCCTTGGAAACAGGGCTCAGCGGGCTGGGAAAGGGAGACGGAGAAGGAATCGAGCAAAGAGAACTAAAGTACGTGTCAGACGAAGAATGGAGAGCCTTAGTAACTAATCACGAAGAAGGAAAGGGTTAAATCAAACTGTGGCGAGTGACACACACAGGAACGTTGAAAGCAAGGTAATCCCACCTGTTGAGTCTGAAGGAAGAGCAACACATCCAAACAGGAATATGAACAGATATATCTGAGACAGGAGATGAAATAATAAAAACAGGACAGGATAACCCAAAAAAACATCAGCATAGAGAGATTATTTCATTTTATGAGAAAAGATTTAGAAATAAGTATCTGCTTTATTTTAGGACAATTTTTTAAATGAAGAAAACTGTGCCATGGTAAGAAATTCTATACTAATGTTTTATTTTACAAGCCATGCCCCAAAATAAAACAACAGATTTTTGCTTCTGAAAATTATACTGATTCGGATGGAATCACTTGTTTTATCATGAAAGTAGCAGATATTAAAGGTAAAAAAAATGCATTTTAATTAAAATAGCTCAAAATTGACCATTAAAATACTATTTCTATTAATTTAACTAAGAACTGATATAGGACTTCCAGTCAAGATGACAGTGTAGGGAGACACAGATCACCTCTTCGCATAGCCAAATCAAAATTACAACTAAAATATACAACAACCATCACTCAGAACTGGCAAGAAATTGTGTTGAACAGAAGTCTGACAACTACGGAATTAAAGAAACCACATCCATCCAGGCTGATAGGTGGGGTGTAGACTCGGAATGGGCATGTTCCATATCTACACACGGTGGATAAGATTTGGGAGGGATATCTCAGGAGTGAGGATTCCCACCCCCACACCGGGCTCCCCCAGCCCAGGGTTCTAGTGCCGGGAAGATAAGTCCCCACAACTTCTGGCTGCAACATCCTGTGGGGATTGAGTCTGTGGAAGAAGGTGGTGGAACCCAAGCAGTTCCTTTTAAAGAACTCACACACGGACTCACCTACTCAGACTCACTCCCTCTGAGCTCTGGTACTGGGGTGGCAGCTTGGAAGACACCAGTGGCATAAAGGGAGGAACTGAAGTGTCTGGCATCAATGCGAGCAGAGGCCACTGTCCTTTTTAAACCCTCCCTCAAAAGAGCCCACAAGCTGGTGCCATATCTGAGAATCCATGGACCTGGCTAACACTGTTTGACCAGCCTTGGAGATCCCCAGAGACTCTGCCCCACCCAACTTCTGGGTCCTCCCAAGCTGCTTTTCCATATGAATGGCTGGTCTTTGCTCAAGCTTCACTACTTCCTAAATCCTATCAAACAAGCAACAGGTGACCTCAGTGAATCACAATGACAGCACTAGCAGCAGCCAGTCCAGATTCACAACTTGTCTTCCCCTGGGAATCTCCTAGACCAACACAAGTGGCAGCCATCTCAGACTAATTTATAGCTCAGGGAAGGTGGCCCTGGGCAAAACACAGGTGGGGGCTGACCCTGACCTGCGCCACCTGGGAAACCCCAGAGCCAGTGCACCCAGCTACAGACCCTGTCCGAGCACCACCACCCTGTCCCTATACAGCTGATCCTTCATGGAGGGGAGGTTAGTGGTCACAACCAGTCCTTGCAGCTGACTGGCCTGGGTAAATCCCTCCCACTGATCTGCCAACAGCAATCAAGACTCAACTACAAAAGGAGGGTGTACTCAGCCCACACAAAGGGCACACCTTGAGTACCCAGCTTGGGTAATATGGGAGGCTGTGCCCCAGGACCCTATAGTACACCAAGTTCGTAAGTCCACACTACCAAGACAGGGAGTCAAAGCTGCTCTACCTAATACATAGAAACAAACATAAAAAGACTGCCAAAGTGAGGAGACAAAGAAACATGGCCCAAATGAAACAACAGATCAAAACTCCAGAAAACGAGCTAAATGAAATGGAGATAAGCAATCTATCAGATGCAGAGTTCAAAATACTGGTTATAAGAATGCTCAAGGAACTTAGTGAGGACCTCAACAGCATAAAAAATATCCAGTCAGAAACGAATGATATGCTATTTGAAATAAACAGTTTACAGGGAAACAACAGTAGAATGGATGAAGTTGAGAATCAAATCAATGACTTCGAACGTAAGGAAGAAAAAAACAATCAGAACAACAAGAAGAAAAAAGAATCCAAAAAAATGAGGATAGTATAAGCAGCCTCTGGAGAAACTTCAAAAGGTCCAACATTTGTATCAGAGGGGTACCAGAAGAAGAGAAAGAGCAAGTAATTGGAAATCTATCTGAAAAAATTGGGAAAGAAAACATCCCTAATTTATCAAAGGAAATAGACATGCAAGTCCAGGAAACACAGAGTCCCAAAGAAGATGGATGCTAAGAGGCCCACTCCAAGACACTTAATTAAAATGCCAAAGGTTAAAGAGAGGATCTTAAAAGCAGCAGGAGAAAAGCATTTAATTGCCTACAGGGGAATTCCCATGAGACTGTCAGCTATTTCTCAAAAGAAACTTTGCAGGCTAGAAAGGATTGGCGAGAAATATTCAAAGTCATGAAAAGCAGGGGCCTATAGCCAAGACTGCTCTACCCAGCAAAGCTATTACTTAGAATCAAAGGGCGGATAAAGACCTTCCCAAACAAAAACTAAAGGAGTTCATCATCACCAAACCATTATTATATGAAATGGTAAAGGGGCTTATTTAAGAAAAAGATCAAAACTAGGAACACTACAATGGCAAAAATACGTATCTATCAACAATTGAATCTAAAAAACAAACTATGCAAACAAGAACAGAGACAAAATCATGGATAGGGAGAGAGTTTTGCTGTTTGCTGAATGGGATAAGGTGTAGGGGAATGGGTGAAGAGGTGAGGTGGGTAAGGAGTACAAATAGGTAGTTACAGAACAGCCATGGGGATGTAAAGCACAGTATAGGAAATGAAGTAGCCAAAGAACTTATATGCATGACCATGGACATGAACAATGGTGTGGACATTGCCTGAGGGAGTGGGGGGTGCCGGGTGGAGGGGGGTAAAGGGAGGAAAAATCAGGACAACTGCAATAGCACAATCAACAAATTAAATTAAAAAAGGAACTGATGTAATTTTCTCTTTAGTCTAAAAGTTTACAAATTCTCTAAGAGCATACAGAGCTCAAATCATGAGAATCTGCTATAATTCTAGAAAATGGAAGATTTCGGAAGAAATGGCAGCTACATTCAAATACACACAGGACTTCCATGTGGCAGTTTCACTTAGAAGTAAAACTGGAAAGAATGGAGGTCATAAGGATGTGAGTTCTAATTCCTAACAGTCATAGCTGTCCAGAGATGGTGGATGGATGAGTGTATTTAAGCATGGGCAGTCAGGAAGGTTTGCAGAGGAACTCAAGCACTGGATGAGCTGATGGACTATACAGCTTTGCAAACCTTAAGAGACTGGTAACATTCTAAGGTTTGATAGCTTATCTGATAATCTACTGTATGAGTGACTAAAATCAAAATCCCCCCGGTAAATCTCATACACAGCTCAACTTAATGGCCTCTGAACGTTTAGTTTTAAGAAAATGGAACAAAGATTTCACTCTGCTATTAAGTGTTAGCTGAACCAAGAAGTTATTAAAATCATTTTTCCCCAAGTAAAGGATAGTTTGGTATACACACCAAATTTTGTTGTATGCGTCTAGGCATTCCGGTTTAACATTGTGAACTGAAACAAAAGAAAATTCAACGATGAACTTATGAACAAAGGGAAAAAAAGTCAACTAGGAAGATAGCAGACCCGTCACTCACACTGTAATTTGTATAGACTGCTTGTTTCCTTTTTGGCTAGGAGATTAGAGTGAGCATCTTTTCTTGGATCAACTTTCCGGACAAATAAGGATTTCAACCAGCTGTCTTCTCGAAGTCTGTTACTGGAAGATGTCAACCTCCTATGGAGTAACAAACAAAAAATTTGCGTCTTATTAGAAGCACAAAAATGTCAGTGTCTTTAGGTCGTGTCATCTAATACACTGTTTTCATAAATTCATCATCCATTCAGCAAACGTGCCTTGGGCACCTGCTCTATGCGCTTTACCAGAACTCGGCCTACCACCAAAGGTCTGCTTTCCATCATGTGCACTCTGAACAGCAGGAATAAAGTGTAAAGAAGTAACTTGTGGCTCTCCTAACAGAGCTCTCATGTTTATCTGTTATTTCCACTATGTATTTTTCCCTCCTGCAAAGCAATTTTTGATCTAGAAAAAATAAACATGAAAACCTAGAACAGCCAAATTCACAGAGAAAAAGTAAGGTGGCTGTCATGGGCTGAGGGGAGAATGGGTAGAGAATTCCAGTTTGGGAGGGTAAAAAGTTCTGGAGATGGCTGTACAATAATGTGAATGCATAATGCCACTGCTGAACTGTACGTTTAAAAATGATCAAAACTGCAAATTTTATGTTACCTATATTTTCCAAGAATTAAAAAAATGTGAAAAGAAATATACAGGGCAAAGAATTATTTCATTTTTAATTTTTATTTTTAATCCTCACCTGAGGACATTTTTTAAAAAGATTTTGCTCTTTTAGAAAGAGCGGATAGGAGGGAGAAAGAGAGGGAGAGAAATATCCATGTGTGGTTGCCTTTCACTTGCCCCCTCCTGGGGACCTGGCCCACAACCCAGGCATGTGCCCTGACTGGGAATCAAACCAGTGACCCTTTGATTCACAGGCCTGCACTCCATCCATTAAGTCACATCAGTCAGGGCTCGAGGACACTTTTTTCATTGCTTCTTAAGAGATACAGGGAGAGAAACATTGATGTGAAAGAGAAGCACTGATCGTTTGCACCCCGTATGCACCTGGACTAGGGACCACAAGTGCCCGGAACCAGAGATCGAAGCTGCAGCCTAGGTGTGTCCCAACAGGGAAGCAAACCCACAGCCTTTTGGCTATGGGGTAACACTCCAACCAAGCCACGATGCCAGGGCGAATTCTTTATTTAAAAAATTTTATTTAACCCCCTCGATTAGTCTTAGAATCAAGATTCACTGTCACAAAAACCTAAAAATATAAACTTCATTAATACATAATTTGCTAATTTTCATCTTATAACAATTTCTACTATACATGCTGCCAGAAAGTGGGCATAAGTTTGAGTGAAATAATAAACTATACTTTAACCATAAAATTTTTTTCTTCTTAATCAGACTTATTGGGGTAACACTGGTTGATGAAATTAAATAATTTCCAGGTGTCCAAGATTATAATTCTACGTCTGCATACTCTATTGTGTGCTCACTGCCTGAAGACTAGTTTCTTCCTGTTACCATGTATTTGACCCCCTTTCCTCTCTTCACCCTGCCTCCCATCCCGCTTCCCCTCTGGTCACCACCGTTCATTTTGTTGTCTGTGCCTGTGAGTTTTATTTATTTATGGAGAGAGAGAGAGAGAGAATCACCAATGTGAGAGAAGCACATCAACTGGTTGTCTCCTGTATGTGCCTCGACAGGGGACTGAACCTACCACTTAGGTGTGTGTCCTGACCAGGAATTGAACTAGCAACCTTTTCTGTGTACTGTACAATGCTCCGACTAACTGAGCCACCAGGCCAGGGCTGTGAGTTTATTTTTAGGTGCATGTACTTCCATAGCTTGCGAGTGGAATTACCAATCTATGTAACCTGCCTAGAGGGCAGTGTGACACTATCTATATCAAAATTAAACCCTAAACCTTCGGCCCAAATAATTGCACTTGCAGCTATGTTTAGACAAGTGTACAGAGTCAAGTGCACAAAAACATTCATTACTGCCTTGTTTCCGGTTTGTTCCTGGGACAGGAAATTTGGATGCCCATTAATGGGACTGGTCAAATGAATTAGGGAATATCCAAAATCAGAACAGACTGTAATCATTAAAAAGAATGATAGATCTACATGCATACATTTGAGAGAAATTACGTGAAAAAAGCAGGCACAGAACACTACCATAAATATACAGTACAAAGTGAACTGCTAATAGTGATGATGGCCACCCTTTCCTTTTTTTGATTAAGAGTATCTTTTAATTTAAAACTAACTCATAAGATATTATCACAAACAGCTAGAAACCAGATAACAACACCTTTGAATGATGTAAGATTACAAATACACAAACATAAAACACATAAATATAAAATTAACAATATTTTCTATAAATTATCAAGAAATATAAAAGTACCTTTTCAAATCCTTTAAAAATTACATAGCTGCAAGCGTATAGTAAACAAGCAAAATAAGCCAATACCAGTCATGCAATTTTTCTTATAAGTGCAAAGGAGAAAAATACATACTCTTACAATTCTTCTATTTTGCTTTTATCATGTTAAAATTTGATAGAATTAAGAAAGTGTTAATGGTGGTATCTCTGAGAGAGGGACAGTTAAAAAATTAAGTTTTTAGAACTATTTTTTTCAATATAACAAACTTCTAAAATTAAAAAAAAAAAAAAATAGCCCTGACCGGTGTGGCTCAGTTGGTTGGGTGTCAGTCCTTAAAGCAAAAGGTCGCCAGTGTGATCCCAGGTTGGGGCTGCCTGGGCTGCGATTCAGTCCCTAGTCAGGCACGCGCAGGAGGCGACTGATCAGTGTTTCTCTGCCACATCAATGCCTCTTTCCCTCTCTTTCTTTCTTCCCTCCCCTCTCTAAAAACAAATTTTAAGATGTTAAATAAATAATATATAAAAACTATTAGCCCTTTACCCCAAACAGAAACATACAGTATTTGTTTCTGTTTTCAATTCACTGATTGATTATATAAATAAACTCATTCTGAAGAAGGCAATCCTTCAAATGAATTATGTTAAAATTCATTTCAATAAAAATAAAAACATTTTGTCAATTTGTTTTAAACATAACACATTTTAGGATATTTGCATTATATTATAAAGCAATATGGCAAGTATACAAAATTAATGATTTACAAAGTATAAAGTTTTACGATTTATTAATGTGACTGTGTACAATTCTTGCTTTTTCTTTAACTTAGATTTTAAGTTCACTAAACAGAAATTGTGCTTAATTTTTCTTGGTTAAATGCATTGTAAGAACCTAGGAATAACAATTATGAACAATTAAGAAAGAGATTTCATAGAAGTTTCTAAAAATATCAGCAGTAGGAAATTTCATTTGAAACATAAAATACTCATCACAGCAACCACTAACAGATTTTAGTGTATCCTTCCAGAAATGTATATACAATACACATGGTGACATTTAATTTCTATGGCATTTAATATATATTTTAAAAATCCTCACCTGAGGACATGCTTATTGATTTTAGAGAGGGTGGGGGAGAGAAATGTTGACCAGCTGCCTCTCCCATGTGCCCCAACTTGGGACCCAACCCACAAGGTGGGTATGTGTCCTGACCGGGAATTGAACCCATGACCTTTCAGTTCATGGGACGATGCTCCAACCAACAGAGCCACATTGACCAGGGCAGCATTTAATACTTTATAAAATAAAAGGGAATAAACAATTATTGGCAGACTAAATCTGGAACAGAAAAAATCCCAAAGTAATTTATCTCCTCCTTCTCCTCAGAACTTAGGGGGATTAAAAGTTAGTAAGTACATATTTCCTGTTAGGTACTGGACTAGGTAGTTTGTCTGTCATCTCATTTAGTTCTTAGTCCTCAGAACAATCTAGCAAAGTATGTATTAACGAACCTTAAAGATGGGCTCAGCTAGGTTAAATGACCTGAGCTAAAAGTGGCAAAATAAAAGTATAAACTTAGATCTATGAAGTTCAAAATATTTTTACTATTAAGGAATACCTCCCAAACACAAATGTCCCCAACTGAGCATTTGCTTCAGATTTTAATATTACCAAAGGAATATATTTTAGAACGAGTAAAATGAGGTCAGATATATGTAAATGTTTTGTAAACTAAAGGTAAGTCTGAGAAATAATCACTATCACAGGACACACACAAGAACCTGAGTATTGTTTGCTCGTAAACTTGGGTAGCAACTGTCTGGACAAATGAAAAATAGGCTGGCCCAGCATTATCCCCATCTGGCTATGAAACCCTGAAATCTTTCGAGTGCCAGGTGACCAAACGTGCCGAATGTGCCTGGGTCACCCAGCTGTCCAAACTGAATCATGGAAAGGGGTAGAAGCAGTGGTGCCAATAGCTGTCAGGGTGGCAAGATCCGGGCTCAGCTGGGGTTAATGACAGTGACAAACATCACCATCAGTTGTCTTTATAAGATCATTTATATGCTGTGCTGCACTTTACAGAGGGTAGGGTGGGGAGCAGCACATTCTAAAAAGGTCTATGGCCATAGCACTCTGTATCCATCCAATCTTGTCTGATCTCAGAAGCTAAGCAAGGTTGGGACTGGTTAGTACTTGGATGAGAGCACTAGACTTTAAATAGAACAAGCCTCATGTGCCAGGTTCTGTGGATATAAAGATGAACCAGTTGCCCAGCCTGTTCAGTCTCATGGGAAAAACCGATCAGTCAACAGCCAGAGTGATCACGGACAGATACTGTAGACTTTTACACACCCACACACATGTGCGCACACACACACATACATGGAATGAAACACTAGCTTGGCCAGTGAGGAGCGAGAGGGACTCCATCCAAGTGGAGACATTCTGGCTCTGTCTTGGAAAACAAGACAGGTGATAATTCCAAAAGGAACAACATGTCCAGGGGCACGGACTCATGCAACTGTATGGCATGTGTTTGGAACAGCAGAGTTCGGTAAGGCAGAACAGGGTACAGGAGGGTGGCAACTGAGATAAGGGGAGGGCAAGGAGGCAAGGTGGTTAGGCTCTTGTGCACCACGCGTGTCCGTCAGCTGAATGCTACCCTGTACATGGTGCAATGCTAGCAAGTCTTCAAAACAAATTCTAGGTGTAAAAAGCAGCCTGGGTGGCATTATGGCAGATGAACTAGAGCAATAAGGCAGGGAGCATGTTGCTGAGAGTTGAGCTGGGGATTGGCAATAGAGAAGGCGGAGTGAAGATGCACTGGAGGTAATGGGAGGGAGCAGGAGGAGAAGGGCTTGGAGAAGACCTTCTGGTTTCTGGTCTGAGCCACTAAATGGAAGGTGTTCCTTTATTGGAGACAGAAGACCCAGAAGAAGCAAGCAGGCTCTGTAGGAAGAAGATGAGTTAAATTCTGCATATATGAACATCTTTAGCACTTGCTGAGCATTAGTGCAACATTTACTAAGTAGCTGGAACTCTGGGCCTGGCACTGAGCAGAGCTGAGAAAGAAGTGCTGGTAAATAAATGTTCCAGGAAGACTTCCTCTTTTCCCTTTGAAATCTTCTGGGTCACCCATAATATCCCTGTTGGCAAATACAGTTTTCTTCTGTCACCTTAACCTTTTAGCAGCATCTGCCATAGGTCACCATTCCTTCAAATACCTCCCCCTGGTCATTGTCATATAACGATGACCTCACTGGCTGCCTCTTCTGTCCCCCTTGCCAGCTTCTTCTTCCTATATCCAGCCTATAAATGTTGACACATCCAGGGTCTATTTCTCAGCCCTTTTTCTACCCACAGTCTCTCAAGCAATCTCATTGATTTCTATGGTTTAAAAAAAAGTTTTATTATGAAAACTTCCAATCAAATGCAAAGCAGTATACTGAAACCCATACATCTATCAACATTTAGCATTTCTATATGCTGACAACTCCCAAAGGTTTCCTGTAGCCCAGACATCTCCTTTGTAGTTATTTGGGTTAAGCAGGCCAGTTGCCTCCTTGGCCTTTCCAACTGAGTAGTTCACAGCCATCTCGAACTTTGCCAAGTCCAAAACTGCACCTCACCCCGCACCTGTTGCTCCTTCTCTAAACTATTAGCAAGATGGAGAGGATCTTGTGTGCCTTATTCACTGTTTCCAATAGCACCCAGCATATGGTGGGCACTCATATGCCTATGGAACAAACTACTCTCAGTAAATGGCATAAACATCCACCCAGTTGGTCATCACCCTTGATTCTGTCCCCTTTCTAAAGTCAGACCAATCTTTGAAAACTGAGGATCGGATCATGTCACACTAGAACTTATACCTTCAAATGTTTTCCACAGCTTCCAGAATAAAATCCAACCTAAGACAACTGCAAGACCTGGAATTATTTGGTCCCTGCTCCTTGTCACTGTCCTCTAGCCAGTCTTCCCTTCACCCCTGTGCTCCAGCCTCCTAGACTTTCCTGGGGTTTTCCAACATGTACAGCTCCTTCCCACTCAGGACTTTCATGTGCACTGACCCTCCTGGTCTCAGCTTAATGTCATCTTCTTGGAGAGGCTTTCCATGATCTCAAGGGGTAGGTTCCCGGATCTCCTCTCATAGCACCTTCCTCGGTCTGTATGTCTATGTGGGTTTTTACTTTGGCCATGGCTTCCTGAGGATAGTGACTCAGGCTGTTATGCTCAGTTTCACAGAACTTCAAGGGCATCAGACACACACAATATTTGACAGACTCAGATAATAATCAGGTCTAGACTGAGTCCTAAAGAACCTACAGTTAAGGCATACAAGAACCCAGGAAGGACCAGCCAAAAGGTACAGGGGATCTGAGAGAGCAATCAAAGAATCAACAGGCTGGACAGAGATAAGGACTCCAAGGTTAAGAGCATTTGGTCCCAGCAGGAAGTGAGGGTACTGGGCATACCCAGGTCCTATTCTTCAGTTTCCTAGCTTTGTGACCCTGGGCATTGCAGGTAAGCATGTTGAGTGAACATTTTCAGTCTCAGCTGAAAGAAGAAGATATGAATTTCGTGGGCTTGTATCACTTGTGTGAACAAAGATGACACTCAGGAGATGCTCAATAACAGAATAAAAATAAAAGGGTGTTGATTTGTTAATCAGCTTGAAAACAGAAACATCAAATTTGGAAATACAAGTTGACCTTCAGTCCTAGGAGGGGTGCTGGGCCTAAAGCCTGACAAACTGGGACTCAGGCTAGAAAATGCCTTTTCTAGCTATGGATCTCGTAACTTTTGAGTTTCCAATTGATCTCTAAAATGCAGATCCTATCACTTATTTAAGATTGCTACTAGGATTTATTTATTTTTCTAGGATGTAATTAAATAAGTCATATTATATAAAGCTCTCCAGCCCATAGTAAGAGTTTAACACACAACAGGTAGTTTCTTTGCTTTTTCATTTTTAAGTGCCAACTGTATTTTCTAAAGGCTCATTATTTAATTAAAAACAAACAAACGAAAAGATAGCGTTTAAACTACCCAATGTAAAGAAAACGAGAAAGCAAACCTCCAAGCAAACCTTATTGTAGAAGTTACAATAGCAAGGGCTTTGGCGGTTTGGTTTGTTTTTTGAATGTGAAAAACGGGCCACGGATGTGTCAAAGTGATGGATTCAGAAAACCGAACATAATCTGAAGTTAGAAGAAAAGTTAAAACATGAACCCAACGCTTACCTATTGGTGATAACTGTAAATACCTTCTGATCCACTACTTACTCTTAAATGTAAGTCAAAAACTGTTCCTAGTACTGAGACCTCCTTACTCCCTCCCTTTCAATGGGGGCTCTCCCGGGAAGATGAGTTATTTCTTCCCCCACAACCACCTAAGAGGTAAGCAGTACCTCTCCTGATAACTGCAGATGCAGACACCAGGGCTCTGCGCGGGCACGCAGCCTTGTCAGCACGCCCGGCGGGAGCCCGGCAGGCCGACAGCGAGGCCTGCGGCCTCAGTCGCGCGCACTGCTGGGCCACGTCTCCAGGTCGCGCGGGGTGAAGGTCCCCCAGGCCCGGCAGGCACGGCGGGCGTAAGTGGCTTCGGTGTCGAACGCAGTCCCCGCCGTGACCTTGAGCCTGGGGGAAAGGCGCTTGGACCCCACCGAAGCGAGGCGTCCGTCCACCTCGGCCACCGCTGACTGCGACCTCGGCCCTCGGCGCCCCGCAGCCCCGGCCGCCCAGCCCCGTGGGAGTGCGGCCAGGCCGGGGCGGAGATCCAAGCCAGGGACCCCGCGCCCTCAGCCCAGTAGCGGCCCCTCCCCGAAAGGGCGGCGCTGCTCACCGGAGCCCAGGCAGGCGGCTGCAGGGGACCGCAAGCTGTAGGAGGCCGCCGGCCGAGGCCGCTCCGCAGGCGTGCAGCACTCGCACCGCCATGTTGCTCCGGTACCTGGGCTCCCACCGTCCGGACCGCCGCTGACGCCGCCGCCTCCGCGACCCCTCCCTCGGCTGGGCCTGCCGAGGCCGGGGCGGGGCGGGGCGGGGCGGGGCGGGGCGCACGGCCGCTGCAGCGAGGGGCCCAGCCACCAGGGGCAGCAGGGAGCGGGCTGCGAGGACCCGCTGCACTGTACTCCGAGCGCGGGGCTCCCGGGAGCCGCGACGTAGGAGCCAGAGAAATTCAGTAACCTCCAGCGAAAGGAGCTGGTGCCCAGAACAAGGCGTGCAGAAGAAAAACTGGCAAGGTCTGAAAGAAAAGAGTAACAGTGTTGCCAGGGGACTCCAAGGCCTGGGGCACAAAGCTGGGAGGCGGGCTTCTCTTCTACCGAATACCTGTGGAATTTTGTACCATGTGTATATAGTATTTTCAACAAAAACAAGCAAAAAAAACACAAAAACCCACATACGTACAGCTTTAATAAAAGCATTCTGGATGGTAACATACTCAAGTTCTCATAGGTTCGAAACTTCGCTGTTCCTGTTCATTTCACCAGCGGTGGGTGGCCTCTAGCTCCATTCCTGCCCTCAAGCCATCCCAAACCAGTGGGGCAGGGTGTAAAATGATTGATCAAGTGTGTAAAGTGTTGAAAGGAGAGGTTCCCAAGATGGCAAGGGAGCACGGACTGGAGAGCCTTTAACCAGCAGTGGCTGAGGAGCACAGATAAACCCAGGAGCTGACACAACAGTGCAGTCCGGTGAAAGAGGAGTTGACCAGGAGGTCATTTCCAATTAGCAGAGGAAACAATTTAAACAAGGCGTGGGTCAGGATGACACTGTTTGGGGAAAGTGCACCAGCAGTAAGATAATAAAGCCACAAATGTAACCACGAAAACTGCATCCAAGACAAGATGGGCAGAAAGGGAGCCAGAGAGAGAAGGGGGACAAACAGCAAGTAGCAGAGGCCCCACCCATTAAAGGGAGCATTTCAAGGCCAGTGGGAATCTGCAGAGGCCAACGGGAAAATGCCCCAGGACCAGGTAGCTGGGAGGTCTCTGTATCCATGGTAAGTAGAATAGATAGCAAACCGGAGCTGGGAGTGGAAGAGAGACCTATCTCACTCATTAATTTAGCAGCCCTAAAACCGGTCAGATTGATTGCCAGGTGTTCTGAAAATCACAAGAGAACCATGAATACTGCAGGAGAGGAGCCTTTGAAATTGTGTGTGTATTATTTACACTATTTAGGAAAGAAAGCCTTTGAAACTAAATTAATCCTAAGGTCCAGAGAAGGGAGGAGGAGGGGGAATTAAGAGGCTGACTATATAAGCATGAAATCCCCAAAATCCTAATAGGCACTCAGACTAGCTGGGTGCCCGCTTGCAGCTCCGTGGTCGTGTATTTCATAAGTAAACTTACTATATCTCATTTCCACTATATGAGTTGTCTCTTGCCTGAATTTCTCTCACAAGAAAATAACTGAGGAGGGGAGCCCCCTAATTTGGGGGGCTCTGCCCAGTAACATCTAGGCAGAGCTCTGTAGGAGCAGCAGGGGTACAAACTGGGTTTGTGCACTGAGGGTTTCTCTGAAGCTGGTAATCTTGGAGGCGAAGGAAGCACTGGGGCTCAAGTGGTGCAGGAGTTTTCTGGGGGCAATGTTTGAACACCTTAATATGGCAAGGAGCCACCAGAGAGGACAGAAATAGGTCTTGTGGTTGGAGGAGTGGCAACAAGGATTTGCCCCAGACAATGCATCTGGGGAGAAGCATCTATCTCTTGAAGGCCAGGGAAGAAGACCGAGGGACACATGGACAGGAAGCTAGAGGCTGTATGGCTGAGTTCCTGATCTCAACTGGCTTATGCTCTGTGCAGCTGTACAGGCTGAACAGACCCTGAGGCTGAAGTGAGCTATCCCCAGGGCAGAACCGACAAAGTCCCAGTTCTGCATAGCAGGAGGCAGGGCCTTCTCAAGGCAATAATATCAATATGCCTTTGCGACTTTCTCACACATTCCCCCAAATTCTCAGTTCTTTCAGGAGACAAATGCTTTCAAATCTATTTTTCTGAAATGTAAACTCGATAGGCATTTCTTTGCTGACCTTGCTTTTGTGTTTAGTATTAGGCCGATCATTCTGCATTTTTTCTCCACTATTATTTTGTTTTGGAGTTCCATTAACTCAACCCTTGTTCCTGGGGGAGGTACTCTTATTTCACAGGTGTCTGGCTTCAGTTACTCAACACTAAAGAATAAATTTGAGGCATCTTCCCGAAGCATAGTTTTTGCACCACAATTTTAAAAAAATCTTAAAAACGACACATTAGCGTACATGTAAACATTTAAAGTATTTGAGCTTTTATTTATTTATTTTAAAGATTTTATTCATTTATCTTTAGAAAGGGAAAGAGAGAGAGGGAAACATTAGTGTGTGGTTGCCTCCCCCACAACCCACATTGGGGACCTGGCCCACAACCCAGGCATATGCCCCAACTGGGAATCAAGCTGAGACCCAATGGTTCACAGTCCAGTGATCGAGCCACTGAACCACACCATCAAGGTCAGTATTTGAGCTTTTAGAGATGGCTTGGACAGGTGTCCTCTTGCAGGATAACTGGTACCACATAGCCCTACCTGCAAAGACCTAGACAGTCTTTTTAAAAATATATATATTTATTTATTTTTAGAGAGAGGGGACAGGAAGGAGAAAGAGAGGGAGAGAAACATCAATGTGTGGTTGCCTCTCATGTGTCCCTCACTGGGGAGGTGGCCCGCAACCCAGGCATGTGCCCTGATTGGGAATCGAACCAGTGACCCTTTGCTTCACAGGCCCACGCTCAATCCACTGAGCTACACCAGTCAGGGGGACCTAGACAGTCTTAAATGCTTCCCTTTTACTCACTCACCCTCCCCAGTACCAAGCCCCAAGTTCTACTTTGGAACATCATCTGTACAATCTCTTTTCATCTTCACTAACTCAGTTTTGTCTTTGGACCAGTCTTTGAAGAGGTCACTCTCTCCCCACCTCTAATCTTCCCCTTCCTGTCTATTCTTTACATTGGTGCTATTACTTTTATTGAAATGTTAATCTAATTATATCACTTACTTACTTACTTATTTAGAGGCGAAGAGAAGGAGAAAGAGAGGGAGAGAAACATCAATGTGTGGTTGCCTCTCACTTACCCTCTACTGGGGACCTGGCCCACAACCCAGGCATATGCCCTGACTGGGAATTGAACCGGTGACCCTTTGCTTCACAGGCCCGTGCTCAATCCACTGAGCTACACTAGCCAGGGCTGATTATATCACTTTTAAATATATATATATATATTTATTTATTTTTAGAGAGAGAGAGAGGAAGGGAGGAAGAAAGGGAGAGAAACATCAATGTGTGGTTGCCTCTCACCTGGCCCCCACTGGGGGACTTGGCCTGCAACCCAGGCCTGTGCCCTGACTGGGAATGGAACCAGCGATCCTTTGGTTCACAGCCTGAGCTCAAGCCACTGAGCTACACCAGCCAGGGCTATATATCACTTTTTAAAAATATATTAAATAACCCACCTGCACTGAGAACACTTTTACCATCTATTTCTCTACCTGATTTCTACCTTTGTTCAAAATGTTCCAGCGATTCTCACCAGCTTCCAGAACCCTTTGGTTATGCTTCTTGCATACTTTGAGGACTTTACACCCTGTTCCCCCTGTTTGGAATGCCCTCTCCACACCCCTCATCTACCAGCCTGGAGACTCTTCCCGTAAGATTCGGTTTGAGCACTATCTTCTCTCTCCTGGGGAATTACTCTAATTTCTCCTCATCCATGTACTTCTTTTGTTTGCCATGAAGGCACCTGTGCGTGAGCCCTGAGAGGGTGGGCAGCCCGTGGTCACAGCTGAAACCCTGTGCTTGTATACTAATACGTGTATTAGCTGAGGTCGAACAAAGCTCCAGATCTCTTTCTAGGAGCTAGAAAACAGGAATATATTGCTCAATGTTCCTTCAGGTCAAAATTTAAATAATCAAAATTAATGGATAGCAATAAAATTCTGAAATGCTCCTATTCTAATATGCATGTGGGAAGTTCTACAACTTCATCAATGTATCAGATTTTAAGAACTTATTCCTATTTTATGTAGCCTAGGATACAGGATTAAAAAACATAACACAGAATTTTAAACTTTTATTTTCTACATGTCAACATTCTAATTAATTAAACTTTAATTTGATAGAGTCTGACCCCCAAGCATGTTGGTTATTTGTTTGGAACTGGTTAAATCAGAGAAAAAAATCAAATTAATTTTGAATAGACACCATCAAAAACATTCACTCAATGTGATCTGTTTATGATACCAAAAGGGTTTCTGCTCCCAAAATAGTTTCTGAAAATAAATTCAAGATTCCTTTGAATGAAAAGAAAAACACATCTAAAAGTGAGCTTAAAAAAATAATGCAGCAGATTATGTGCTAGGCACATTTAGCATAACAAGAAAGTATGTTTATTGAACAGGAAATTCGACACATGGCCATAAACCTTTTAGGAAAATTATAACAAAGCCTTTATTCATTTACTTTTAGCTATTTCATAAACACCAGGAGGGAAACAAATCAGTTTGTGATGAAACTTAATAAAAAATTTTTTTCCAGAAAGCAAACTTATAAACCTTCCCCTTTGGCTCATTTTTCTAATATTCCTTCACTGTTCTGAAGAGATACTGAGTTCTTCCAGATTTTTGGTTAGATGGCTGGTTTCCAAACTAACTGGACTCTCCAGGTAGGTAGTTCCTGCACAGGGTTTCCCGGTAACTGGATCTATGACTTGTCCAACTTTGAAAATGATCTCAGCCAGCTCATGTTTCACATGTTTCGTTCGTGGAACAGGTAAAGCTTTGAGAAGCACAATATCTCCAACTGTGCACTGCTGAAGAGCATCGTGAGCAAAGTAGGTTTTTCGTTTGTTAAAATACTGTTGAGAGAAGGAGGAACAAATCAGCAGTTCCTATCTGTTTTCTGGCAATGTAGTACAGAATGTGAAAAAATAACTCACAGAAAGCAAGCTGGGACTTGGGGGAAAAATAGACAACACACTTAAG